CTTCATATTGCCAGTAACCACGAAATCACTGATTGGGCCTTTTTTTAACTTGTACAACGAAAGGTTGTACACTTTTCAGGAACGCACATGAGATTTTGTTCCAATATCCTTTGTTCATGGTGAAGCTCTAAACAAATTACATTATTAGTAATTCACTGAATAATAAAGAAGATAGTAGCGTAGGAATGATAAAGTAGATTACCACTTCTTTAAATAACTTCCGTGTATTAATCTTAGAATCTTACAAGATCAACCATAATCTCTTGTTACAAATCACCTTTTAGGTTGTTAGTAAATAATGCAAATAAGCGGTAAACTAAGGAGATGCGGATGTTCGGCACTTTTGGATCTTTTTATAATCTTCAGTTAATGAAATGTTAAATTTTGTGAAAATAACCAAATCTTTACATTATAGATGTCAAGTAATATACGTTACTAATGATCAAGCCGCATGTAAGTTTCTATTATGGAAAAGAAAATAAATAGATTTGCCAACATTTATCATCAAATTTGTACTGAAATTATTGACTAACATCAATGATTCAAAGCATTTGGTCATATGCCACCCAAGAATTTATAAAACTTAAAATTTCTGAAAGATTGTAATATTCAGTGCTATATTTCAAAGCAAAATTCTAACTTTTATTGTACAAATACATTCACATGGGGGGGGGGGGAAATAATGATGATTTAAACAAACAGATCTTAGTCAGATCGAGCAATTGTGCCTGAATAATAATTTTTCTTGATATATTTCTTCCCGTAATCAAAACCTTACACTGAGCATTATCAGTATTAATTCTAAAACTTTCATTTCATTCTATTTAAAATTTTAGTTTAGTTATTCTCTTTTGATAAACTAATTCACTATCCAACATTAAATCATAGTCAATAAGTATTTACATTCGGAAGATATTCAGGAGGTCAGCAGTAATATCTATGAGGAATTATAACGTAAGGTGTGATTTTAAAATTGAACGAGAAATGATGATGTATTATAATCTCAGAGTTATTTTTCTTTTTGTTAACCTATTATTCATTCAATAAACATCTTAGCAAAAGCTGGGTGGATTATATATATGTACATATAATTGGCAATTTTCGTTCAGGTATATTCCATTTGGCTAAATATCATTCATTCAAAGAATGTTTATCAATTTAAACATATATGTATATTTATATATCTACATACCTGAGGCTATCAAATGTAATTATTATCAGATAGTTCACTACTCTCTTATAAATTACCTACAATTTGTCTTGTTTTATTCAATAATACATTTGTTTTATCTCATTATATCTTCCAATATTCAGTGTGTTGTTTTCTAAATCTCACAAGGGACTTTTTAAGATAAATATGTTGAAGCAGGAAAATATTTTTCTAATAAAGCAGTTAAGATAGATACAATTCGAACTTATCGATACGTATTCTCTATGAATTAATACGGTAAACGTTTCACGGTTTAAAAACACTTGTGTAGCTCGACCTTGGAATAGTTAATAAATGTTGTTTGATGCTACCTATTCGTTCTTATCGAACTCTGTACGCTATTTTGAAAAATTTGATGGTAAATAGTTTGAGACAACTAATTTTAGACTAATAGTTGAATTCATGAGTCGACCTAAGCTAGACTACCATTGAAAACCTGGAAGTACTGTTAAAAATACTGCAATCTTAACAACTCTCCCTAATGGTAATAATAATGAGCTCATGAGTGACTAGCTTCAAGATGGATTCCCTGGAGTTCTAGTGAGAAGCCGTGATCAGTGGAATTCAATCCGTGTCGAGCAGAGATATGTACCTACCTCAGATAATGGATGAAGGGATGAGCAAGTCGATGAATCAATTAAAGTTAGACCTTAAAATCGTTGGATGTCGGCTCAGTGGTCTAGAAGTCAAGTATTCGCTTGTGAGACCAAAGGTCCTGGTTTCGAATCGTGGATGCGTACTGCTGAGGAGTCACTTACTAGAACGAATCAACTCTATTGGTGGTCTAGCTTAGATTGACTTGTAAATTCTATTGCGAAAATACTAAAATCTCCACAAACCCCGATTCTGATAATTTTAAACCAGGCAGAAGGAGATGAATCACCTGATAATAAGATGTTTGCATGTTCGCCGTGTACAGAATAAATTTTTCAGTCATTATGAAACAAGTAGACAATTGAAATAACCGTAAATGTGGAAATGTTGATCACAATTTCTGCATATGACTAATAATTTATATATATTGAATGATGGGTAGAAAAATAAAATACGGCATGGCATTTATGTTGATTTGTCATGGTCTCCAAGCTTTGTATAGTTGAAACAATTATTACTATTGGAATTGGAGAATTGACTTCAAAACCCATTACGACAACAGAAGATTCGAGGTCTATTAGAAGACTTTAAAGTTTACAAATGAAATGGTTTGACTTGAAATGCTAGACTCCTATAAGTGAATTCATGTAATTGCAAAGTTCACAGCGATTGTTGTTGGCTTTAGACATTGATCTTCAGCACTTTCCCAATGTCTTGTATACACGAATCAGTAAAACAAACTGAAGTCATCAAGTATTTGCAACAACACTTTTCAGAAGAATTTACACCAAATTTGATTCGTTCGTGTAGTGCTTCATACCATGTGTCAACACTGTCTATTAGGTTAGCAAAATGGCAACGAATGACTTATTGAAGACGTCGTTAATAAAATATATTTATGTCTACGACGGTTCAGGCGATAAGGTAGAAAAGAGTGACAGTCTGATTGATTGTAGGTTTCATGAGCATCTTTATCATACACACCGGCTGCGCGAAAACGAACACTGTGTCAGTTTCAAAACTTGATTGGTCGTTAACCATCATCACAGACAAAACTTTGAACGCAAATAAACTACTTAGTTTAAAACTCAGTATTGTGCAATCCAACTTAGCATGTGGCAGATATGTAATTTATTCCAAACATTTTTTCCATAATTATTGATGGTGTCTCCACTAAGTCTCTTACCATTTTCGTTCAACATAATTCGCAGTCCAAATTCCCTATGTCAACAGTGGGATCATCGATCAAGGTATCAGTACTTAGAAACGAGATTTATGAACCGGTTGTGCGAAAGAGACAAGGATTGATAATCCTGATATTTTACGCTTTACCGCTTCCTATTATTTCACAGACAGATTTCGCCTAACCACTGAATGTCAGTGCTAATTTATGTAATGAGATCAATCAATCTACAAACGACTGTTCAAGCATAATACCACAATTCTAACTATCCCAGTAAGCTGTCGACAGTCATATTGTTCGTGCACTTTATTATAAAAATTTTTAAGGTGGCTACTTTTAAAGCTTGTTAGTAGTTAAAACATCTCAAAGAAATTAGCTAACGACGATAGCAAAAGAGAAATGGAGTATAATCAATTGAGATTTTCCTGAGCCGACAAGTTGCGTTTAAGTTACTATAGTTCTACCCAATAACTACGTAAACTGTTACGCACTTACCTTAGGGTGTAATTATTTCATAAGGTGCAGATATACTAATATAGTTAGGAATAACGAAATAGCAGAAAATATGTTGAAACCAGGGATAATTGTTATTGTGTTTAAAAACCTTGATCAAATTTTACATGAGCCAGTGGTGAAATATACTGCAATAAACTGCTGAAATCATGAATTTTTTCCCATTTGTTTTGCAAAGACTTGTGTTGACGGTACTTTATATCAATCAACCGATACTGTGCTCTCTTTCTTTAATTAGATAGTCAAATTATGATTAATGAAACTTATCTCATGATAGTATTTGACACAACTATTTAGAGAATAATCTGGTCGAATTTCTTCTATCAGTCAAACGTTGAAATTTTAGTTTAACAACTCGTCGAGAGAACATGAGATCACGCCTGCTATCACAAAACTGTTTATCCTAATGCTGTTAAGCTTTTACGTCAGTTGCTAGTAAAAGCATAAATTAACTAATATTCCACCTCTGATATTTAAATGATAATTATCAGTAAAGCAAAGTATACACAACCTCTAACAGCTAAAAATTAGATGGAACAGCCTAAGCAGCTTCACTCATCCTCGGGAATGTGTTGTGAAAAGTATGCAAATTGTCTCTATGGTAACGAGATCATTGCACGCTGGAACATTAGGAATCCATGTGATTCATCTGGCATTGTTCCATCAATAAGTGATTCATTACTTACGGAAATATTTATTTAGCTCTTTACTATCATTTCTTATTTTAAACTTTTATTAAAAATATCGGGCAAGTTTATTCCTCTGGAATTCCCTTTAGTTAATTATTGATTAAATATGGCAAGTCATAGATTATGTTGGCTCTGCATATCATTTGTCAAATCTTTATATGATAGTTTGTAAAAATGATTTCATGTTCTTTTAGACAGCATAATTAGTAGTTTTTAATTCGTAAACATTATTTTGACAACGATAGTTGATCACGCTGGATATATGTCAAATACATTTATTACAGATGAAGACAACCCAACAACCAGTCTGTTAATCTTTATTAAAGAAGTTAGTTTGGACTCTTTGCTCGAGATGAGTTGGAACTTATAATTCAGTTCTTTATGTAAAAGTTGAAAATTTTCCGATATTCATATTCAGAACTGGGACTGATTATGCTCTATGGGGGTATATGGACACAACAGATAGTCTAGATACAGACCTTAATTGGAAGTTTTGGTATATTTGGATTATAGTTAGTAGTGCGAATTCGGAAATACATATCACCCTATCCTGGACACAGCAGCTTGTACTCAGAGGTGACTTTCACACTAAGACTAACTTAAAACATATCTGTTCAAAACCCAACGGATTATCCTACTAATCATCCTTAATTCAGTTGTCGGTCACAATTGAAATATATTATAATTCAGTAATTTGGAATTCATTTACTTCACCAGGTTGGAAACAACTTATTCAACTGCAGACATGTTTCAAGTAAGAATTAATTAATTTTACACATAAACATATGGAAAAGAAATAAACCATATACTTCTAAATGAATGTTTATATTCTGTTTTATAAGTTATTTATTAAAACAATATTATATCAAAAGCAACTTAAGAACTAGTGAACAATTGATTTGGATAAATCACAACCGTATTTTATTTATATAGAAATGGAAAGTAAACAAGTTTTATCCAATTGCACACACATCATTCTTGAGGCGAGGGTTAAATGTATGGACAGGAAGTCACTAGTTACAATACACTGAATCAATGTTTTATTTTTGTTACAGAACGATGAAGATAATAATTCTTATATGATATGTATAATGTTTAATTGTTTTCGGTTGAATAAATAAAGCAAGATATAAATGAGAGAAAAGAGATAGTAATCACAAGCATTATTATTGAATAAATATATTTCCCTCTAACTTCGCAGAATATCTATTCATACATACACACATACAATTAACTGGCCTACATATTGAACGAAGTAATCAAATCGTGAACGTTGAATATACTGTTTAATAAATGCAATTTAAAAAAAATACTCATTATTAATCTATCACAGTAGAAGAGGAGGAATAAAAAAACACGCCGACAAACGTGAAGAAGAAGCAGAATGAAGGATATTAAAACGGGAAAAATAGAAAAGTGTAGACTAAAAATGTATCATGTGTATTTTGAGACAGTCAGCACAGAAATAACATAAGAAATAAGAGATTAAATTGAATAATATATTTTTCTCTTTTTTTCATGTTTATATTCCCTGTTGTTTTGATGTGAATGTGATGATGATATGAATGATTTAATTTGTTAATCTATAGAACAAAGAAATTTATTTAAAGTATATAAATCACTATAAAACATGTGGACAAATCATCGTTGAGTGTATGATAATGATATTACTGTTGGACATGATAGATAAATGATAAAATTATGAAAGGAAGAAATCAGTACAAACAAATGGCAGGAAAATATATTGAAACCGGTTGTTTCTAAACAACGCCGATAAACAGACACTTTGAAAAAGTAATAATCACAGTAAAATAAACACAGAAGGAAACAGTATAAATAACCTATGGGAGTGGAAGGATATATTTATCTTCTGAAAGTAGATTTCTAGATCAGAAAAAAAATAAATCAGATAAAAAAATCATTACACATGTGAATCAAGTACATGAACATAGATTCCATTTGGCGAAAAACGAATAGTTTCAACACTGTGTACTGATGGTAAATGAAATGGTGTAGGTATTTGACCATCTTTTGCTATAGTTAAAATGGAAGATTCTGGTAATATACCTAACAGACCACAAACCCAAAATTTTCCGGGACGTAAAAATATTATAGAACTAATGGATGTTTCAGATTTTTGACTAGATGGTGATAATGATGATGACGGCGAAGACTGAGGGATAGAGAACTAAAAACATTAAAACAAAAGCATACAGTGATTACAAACATTTCTGATAGGTTAATTATTTACACATTTATAAGCTTTAATGTTTAAGAAATGCAATCGGACACTCACCCCAATACTACCTGAGGCTTTTCCAACAAAAGTATAATCCATTCCTTCAATTAATGGTCCTAACAAAGTACTCTGAGTTGATTCATGATCATCATTACTAATGTGTTGAACATGTCTATATACAGCGGGACCCATCCAAACATGTTCTATTCGAAACTCCTGTGTTGAATCTGTGGTACCATTTGAGTTGAGAAACGAGTTTTTTCGTTGAGTTGTGGAGCCTTTAGAGTATATTTTTTTAAAAACGAATAAAAATAATAGAAAGAAATGTTTACACAAATGATGAATTACAACTAATCAAAAGCAATATTTAAAAAAAATTATCAGGAAACATAAATTCAGAAACCTGTTCGTTTTACAGTAATAAAGTGATTTCATTTGCTTTAAATGAACTAATATGGTGAAAAAAGTCAGATGTTCGCACAACATAAAGAGCCATTGATTAGTAAAACCTATTTATTGATTTGAACACATAAATATAGGTAAGAAGGGGCACCGAATATATATGCGCCACACAAGTCACTTGATTCGTGTGTGGGCTGTGATGTTGCCCGGGTGCCCAACTCAAAGCAGGTGGTTTTTTTAGGTGGACACTCCCCGAGCTCTTGACCTAGAGGTATAATCCACAAGTCTGTGGAGAAACGTTAGGAGATTCACTCCCATTGTAGCCGGTGACCAACAATAGGTTCATACGCCATTTGTTCACTCAGGATTCCAGAGCTTATATGCACCATTGGTTTGAAATCAGGATTTTTCAGTTGCCTTAAGTAGATCACTCAAAACCCACCAACCCGGTAAACGTAGCGGACATTCGCTTTTCGTCCTCTCAGTTTGGATAAACAACACCCTCGTGCGAGAAGGAAGTTAGTAGGACTTCCGTGGGAGTGGCTGTATACGCGTGGTTATGCCAGAGCATTTCAAGAGGATGGATGGACTCTTCGCACCCTTGGATGTACCAGGGAAATCAAGGGCTAAATACGTTCTACATGCTGATGCTAACTGGTTTCCTAGATGATAGCAGAAACGTTTGTAAACAACATAACAATGGAGACAGAGATTTATAGAAGTTAAAATATTCTTCACCATCTGATTATTAACACAATTCTTCTTAGGTAATTTTAAGAATGTCGTGACTATTATTTTAAAGTCTATTTATGCAAGTTCGTTCTACTTCTTATGTTGAAATTTTATTCTTTTTACACCAGCATTTTAACTTTTTATCTATTATTTGTAGTTATGCAATCTATTTCATTGTGATTATCGACTTATTAATTGTCTTGATTGATTTAACATTATTCGCTTACATATGTTATTTTAATAAAAGTAATTTCTACAATTCTAATCGAATATCCATATCTGTTTTATTCAAATGACTTACATCAGTAACATGAATTGTTTCTCACTTTAAGTTTTAAATGAGTAATTTAATTATACATTTATTAAATCTAATGGGTTGTGATTGCCACAGAACCAAGTAAACTTTTCTTAGCCATACATTTCATCAGATAATGGGATAATTTCATACATATATTTGCAATTTTAAACCATTTCCAACTTGGCAGTTTTGTAATACATTCCATTCAGAAATTATTTCAAGTATACTGACTAATCAGTCAGTTATAATTAAGTAACATGATAGTTTTAAACAATTTTATGCTTTAAGTACTTTGACACATGTTGATTAGCATATCATATACATAAATTTCTAACAACGAAGAGGCTAGGCTGTTCATACCGGTTGATACGTCATTGGTTTGGCACAGTGCTGAGATTCTATAAGTCGTATTCCGATCGGCAAATAAGTTACATGATATTAAACCGGCTTAAAAGTCAGAACTGAGGTCAGTAAGTCAGTTATATGCAATGTATAATCTAATATATGTTCATCGATTCAACTTTCCACACAAAATTAGCACAGAGGGATGACATTAAAAATCATAATACAACAGTAGTAAAAGTAGTTGACTTGGCCGCCACTATCTTCTTTCAGCCTACTCCTACACTATAGTATGCTGCTGTAGAGTTAGGCGGTGGTTAGGCATGTGATACATTAAATAACGAGAGAGACAGGTAGATAATTTGTGAACAAAACAAGATATAACTGATCATTACTATCATAGTATCAACAAAGAATTGTATACACACCACTTACTTGTTTCATTTTCCATAAAAATATTCCGTAAAAAATTCTGCCTTACTCCACATTGAATAGAAACAGACACAGGATTTAATGGATATGTACAAATACGTGACGATGAATAAAGATCTTCTTTGTTAATATTCATAATGGATTTTCGTGAAGCTCTTAAATCGGGCAGAGATATTTTACGAAGTCCCACTGATAATTCTTCTATTTTTAAATTATTCAACTGATTTTTCGCTATTGTACTAGTGATATTAGTGTTGGTATTAGTTAGTAATTCTTGATTTAATAATACTGAAATAGATGAAATACGACGTTGGGTACAAACAGTTGTTCGACGTGCAATAGAATAATCTTGACGACATTGTAAACATAGTTGACTTTGAGGATCAAGTTTTTTTTGTGAATTAATTCGAAAATTTGGTGAATAATCAAGAATGGGTGGGTCCAGACTGATATCTAAACAATTTTTTTTAAATACAACACAAACATACGTTAGCTTAATGTAACTTTTGTGTAAAGCATAACTTCAGTGAAGAAATGCAAACAACCAATAGTTATAATATTCGCAAGCATTTTGTACAATGCATCTCATGATGTTGCCTGTGAGCAGTAACAGGATGATAATGGACAGCTTCTGATAACTGGTAAGTACGAGTAAGGTTGTAACATTGGACCTTGAGAATTTTTCGTTTGAGTGCTTTTTCGGATAAATAACCGTCGCTACTCGGCATAGACCGATGGTTGGTATTAAGTTGCAAAAGCTTTCATTTATTAAGTACAACAGTGTTTCATTTGTCATTGTCATGAATTTCAAAAAACAATACTAGTGGTGAACTTTCAGGAATCGTTCATTCAGCAGCTATTAAATATATATATATATATATATATATATATATATATATATATCGTATTGAGAGATTTGAAGTGTTTATCACTGAATTAGAGTGACACATGATCAATAGGGATAAAAAAGTATCCATATACTTGAATAGATAATGAATGGTGATTATTTACAAGTAGTAGCACATTGAGACAATAGAAATTTATAAATAAAATCTTAAAAATCAGCTTGCAAGTAAGTGCTATGAACATTAATGGGATAAATTGGGAAGGAATTAGTGATCACAAATGATTAATCACATTTAAATTCACTAATTAATCTCCCAGTAGGACCAAATGAAGATCACAACTGCTAGTTTGCTTTATTGAAAAATTTCTATGACCTTATTGTCATTCATAAAACCTACTAACTATTGAAGATCTAAGGAGTACTGTCAGAATGTGATTTTGGTCCCATTTTATCTTAAATTTCAAGCGTTACCCATTTTGAAAAGTTTTGAATCGACAACTTACATTCTGTTGTATATTTTAGAGTAATATAGCAGTGATAATTTGTAATCGTTTTATGTATTGTTATACATTTCCACTGTTAACTAGCACCTCCTCATTAAATATCTTCTTCGAAGAAAACCAGTGAATCTCATGGAGATGCCGATTTCAAATACTAACAAATATAGTGATTTGAAATAAGCATTGAAGGTGACTAGTTTTACTCGTTATACATATAAGTTACCTATCAAAATATTAGATAGATTTTTAAAGGTGAATAAACGATTTATTCATGAACTTATGTATTCAGAAGTCGTTTTTTTATCATTGTTTATCAAACACTTCAAATTGTTCTCAGTAAAAATCGATCTATAAAAGAAATACGAGACTAACCTATCCAAATATTATTTGACCAGAGAAGGCCAGCAGCAGAGCCAGAATTAAGGAACGGATATTCATACCAAGGTTTAAATAATGATGTTGACAAAGCTTCATTAGCAAACCATTTTGGATCTATTCGACATTCATGTGCTGGTAAAATTATTCGACCATATCGACGAAAATAAGAACATAAATATGAATTTTCATATTGCTGAGATTTTTCTGATTTACAATCAGATTTCCAACGAGCTTGAACACGAGAGTACCAAAATATCTGTAGAATAGAAAACAAGAATTAAGATTAGAACAAAATAAATAAATGATAGTAGTAATCGATCTGTGCATATATATAGGTAAAATTATGAAATAATTAACTTCTTTTAATCCGTTATCTACTTTAGTTAATAATTAAAAAAAGGACATTTCATTATTCTCTGTAACCAAAGGAAATGTAGGTGATAGTACAAATGTATGTCTATTTACACTGACACGTTGCGTTGCACATCAAGGCGGTGAAAGGTCAATCAAAGGAATACAATCATATCATTAATTTCAATGGGAAAGTAGGTATTTGAAATAGTTAGATAGGTATCCATACAGTTGCAGAATGTGAAGTACGAAATAATGATTAGTTCGAGATTGATGGAAAAACCAGATACATTAACATCAGTGTAATTGAATTTGATCCGTGCCTTCTAGAATCTTTAACTGTTGATTCGGGATTATGGAATAAGTTTTAACAAAAGTCTATACAGAATAGCATGAATTCATTTTTATTTCGTTGGTTCCCGTCAGGTGCTTACAACCTGTGATATTTAAAGTCATAATTACATAATGGGTTTAAATTACTTACATGAAAGAGTTTGACTGGATGTTATATTGAAGACATATTCGTATAGTACAGCAAGGGTGTAGATAAATTTATAGACTGAATATTGTAAATATATACTTTATGTGATGAAAGAACATTGTGACAACAGTTCAAACGGCTAGAAACAAGTAAACATTGATAGGAATAAAATGAGTAGAGTTCGAGATGGTGGAGAAGATTTGTAGCTCAGGTGGATGATTTCGGTGGTGTTTTGTTCTCTGAGCTGGATGGTTTGGTCGTGGAGCTTTCATCGTTCTTCTGAACGACATCATCAGCACAAACTTCAGATGCTGATGATGTCGTTCAGAAGAACGATGAAAGCTCCACGACCAAACCATCCAGCTCAGAGAACAAAACACCACCGAAATGAGTAGACTTCAGTTGATAAAATAAGATCATTAATTTGGAAGGTAGTTGGAGTAAAACTCAATGATGTGATAAGTGCAAGAAAAAGTTGAAAGAAAAAGAAAAAAATATTAAGATACAGTAAAGGAATATTAGTCATCAAGGCAAGGAAAGATTAATAACCATCTCCTTTTGAACACATAAATCAGGTTTTTGGCATCTGATAGCAACTGCTTCAGCAAACTTCAGAAGACTGGAGTTTGGCTGCTTACTAATCACCTTGAATTATTGTAGGGTATCGACCTGATGTCCAGTATCAAGGAGATGTTTGGTGATTGCACTATTTAGAGTCTTTCTTTCTCGGAACAAGAGAAAGAAAGACTCCAAATATATTCGCCGTAAAATATAAGCAACCTATGGTAGACTTCTACTTTCAACGACCGAATTCCATAGCCGTCACGTAGGACGAAGCCAACTGTTAAAAACGCATGCAAGCTATTGATAATAATATGGACATTTTTGGCTACATAGAGGACACTTTTCAGGCACGTCTTCGACATAATAACTTTTAAAATAACCCCTTTTAAGATATTTTTTGACAAAAATGTGTTTTGATTAAATAACATTACAAGGAATTACTGAAATAATATTTATTACAGGGGATGTGATATTACTTTTATATTTGATTCTAAAACACTGCCAGGTACTTCAATTTCCACAGGAATAGGAATACCTGATTCATTCGATTTTAACCGTTCTGAATTGATAAGTTTTGTCATTTTGTTACTGAACACTAAGTCACTAAATCCAATAAGTGGTAAACGGATTTGATGTGCAGTTTTCAAATTATCCAAGACATCTTCTGTACAAGAGTTTAAAACAGGAGAACTCGGTGAATTCGAGGTTTTTTCAGATACGCCATTCGATAGTTCAGTAGAAGATAGTGATTGCTTTCGTTTAGAACTATTATCTGCTGATTCATTAAATACATGAAATAACCATGGACTAATTAATTGTACTAGTGACCTCGACTGTTGTTTATTAGACCAATTTTCTTCTAGTTCTATTTCGAGACGATAATGCAGGAGATGATTAGGTTCTATCAATATCTATTAAGAATGTAAAAAAAAAAATTGTAGAAGTTTGAATGTATTATGCCAATAAGTTTTAACATTACAGAACTTGATGAAAATCGAATATAATTAAAACGAGAAAAATCATGAGTGAACAAATACTATACGAGAACATAGTAATAAAATATTCCAATGTAGTTGTTTAACGTTGAAAGTCGAAACGATACGATAAATCCTCTTTTCAGATAAAAGAAAAATTACTAAGGGAAAGATTTAAAACATTGAAATCAATGTTTACTATCTTTTTCAGAAAAAATTGTAACCTGAAAACATACCTGAGGTAGAAATGTATGTGATAAGTTTGTTTCGACAGAGCCATATAAAAATGATTCAGCTTGAATTTTTTCCCCAAATAATTTTGTCATTTTATTTTTCTGTAAGTAATATTCATTTGTTAATGGTTTATCTTCAAAAGTTAACATTAAATCAGATAACTTTAATGGAGCTAAATTTGATGCCAGTAATTCCAACTTGAATCCTAATGAAATTTGACGTGTTAATGATTGATTATTATTGGAAAGTAGAGATGATGATGTATTACTTTCAGACGATGGTGAAGATTTAGTTGCATCAAGAGCGTATTCAATTTCTAATTCAATGTAAATCGACTGTACTTGAGTAGGTTTCATTAATTCATTAATTTCAGGGTCTGAAGAAAATCGATCGGTCACAATTTGCCAATACTTATCTGAATCGAATTTCAACCAAATTAAACCAACATGTGTCGCATATAATGGAAGAGAATGTTCATCATAATCAGAATTTATATTTGGTAAAGAATTTGGTACTTCACAATTTTCAACTGGGAGAGGAAACTGACAAAAATAAAATTTTTAAAAAATATGAAGAAACATGAGACAATGCTATGTTATTAATAAAGTCAGTAGATATTAGTGATATTTTTGGTATTCGAAACAGATTGATCTCAATCGATGTACCGTATAAAACTAGAGCCTAACGGACAGCTTTTGCGTCCTAGTATGGAACTCTCCAGTGATACCTACCCATGACTCAGTCAGGAATTTGACCTCGAAATATTAATCCTTGAAGTTGACGCAAAAGGATTAGAATCCCTGACCCAGCATTCATTAGTACAATCATAACTTCAATCAACTTGTGATAGAGCACGAAGAGCATCGAATGCCATTGGTGACAACTGCTTCACGTACTGAAATAGAATAGTCTACAATATCTATGCATAAAACGAAGATCTTATGTACAGTTTTTTTTCAAAGATGTTCATCAGAAGATGAACCAGACCCAGAAAAAACGACAATATATTAGTGATTTGATTTTCCCACGGTTAAAGACAAGATAATCAATTATTTCAACCTTTGTTGACAAACACGCCATATGTAAACATGATTTTATAACTGAAAACTGATTATATTTAACATTTATTTATTACACTAAAGTACGGAAGTTAAAGCAATAAGACTATATTATGAATTATCATATTTTCTACGCGTTTGATTCTAAAACTACTTTATCACGCTCTTGTAAAAAAAATTCACCCTAATTATATACTTTCAGTAAATAACAAAACAAACCACATATACGATAGCACTACCATCGAAATGGGTTGGCTATCGAGATAACGAGCCTGAAAAAACCCTAATACCTCGGTCAACAGTAACTCTGTTAGTAACTACATCTCAAGCCCGTGATTTCGTATGTTACTGATATTGTCATGATCGGAATCACATCACATACGACAATGCATGAATGTAATACCTAATGGACATACATCATCCCTACAAAGAAGCTATGGCATAGATAGTTTAAAAAACAAACTAGACAATGTACACAAGCATCTAAGCTATATGCATTCCGAATTGGAGTTGCCTGAGTCCTTCATCAACGTTTGATGCCAAACAAGAAATGTAGGCTTCATGAACTCTAAAGCTATTACTGTCTAAGCACGCAGTTCCTGCTAACTTTGAAGACATTATTAAAGCCGGATCTGTCGTCTACGTTATTGCAAAAGAAGTTGCTAAGAGAATATTCCTTGAAAATAGCATGAATAGCCATAGTGTACTTGGCAAAGCCCCACTTAAACCGGTTAGGCATTCGAAACTGAAAGCAACTAACATTTTGGATAGTTCGTATCACTGTTTCCGCTTTAATAAAATGCACCTTGTTCAGATTTGATTCACATTTACCTGCAGAACAACTGAAAGAATCTGAACGGTCAATCGGTACACTTTCCAAGTTTATGAATACTTGTATGGTCTTGGATAAGACTACCAAACAAAGACTTACGAAAAAAGGCACCTCAATCAAAAATAATATTACCAGAACATTACTCGTGTTTCCTTAACTACACCAGGGCCCATTCATGTGAAAAACGTATCTCCCACCAGTCAAAACGCCAATTTATCAAAGAAAAATTTCCGTCATTAAAATTAGATTTTTGTATACATATAACAAACTGCCTTAAGAAAGTAACTTATTCATTAAATATCAGCTTTACTAATTTCATCGCACTATAATCCTACAGCGTAAACTTATATTGTTCTTAATATTGCTTTCTTACATCGGACATAAATAAACAATTGAGGAAAAACCCTTGAGATTCACCAATCTACCTGATATTCTTTTCCCTATCACATCACAATTTTATTTTTATTGTATTGCATAAAAACTTTAGTACTCATTTGTGCCAATGTTCATGTGTTCAAATAAATAACAACAAATAATATATTCAAGGTATCAATGAGTATTGGGTGTATGTAAAATAAAACATTCTTGTAATCCATTTAAAAAGTATTCACATATTGAATGAAATTCGTAACACTAATAATTTAAACTTACTCTTTTTCGAATATCTTCTAAACCGATACATTGAATAAAATCAGTTGCATTTAAATTTAACTTGGTTAACAATGATAAACTTGATGAAACTGATTTTAAATTTACATGTAACAAGTTTAGGTTACGTTTAATTGAGTAATTACTATCGAAATCATAATTACTTTCTGGATTATTATTATTATTATTAATATTATTTATTGAAACATTGAATCTATTTTCATCGCGAATATATAATTCGATGGGTAACCATCTAGTTTCATATGGAAATATAGTTAAATCCAACTAAATAAAGTGAAAAATTCATGTAAAAAAATAATAATTCAGTATATGGATAGCACTATTATTTAGAACAATAATAATCACAATGAGAATATTACATATTGCTAGCATTAGTTATATGTAAAACGAAAGGAGTAAAAAAAGATCTACTCTGATGCAAAGGCAAATGAAAGTCAGATGATGAGTGTATAACGAATTATTAATATTAATGATTTAATGGTAGAGGACATATGTTGTTAGGACTTATCCTTAATAACTACGAAATTGATATTTGATATTTAAGTTAACTTTTATCAATTTTCAACTATATAACTGCTGGTTGACAGTCTTGATACAGTAGTGATTTTGCAATGAAAATATAAACAAATGCAGCAAAATCTAAAGCATTAATGAATTATTTGAAGATATAAATCAAAACAACCGTTTCGTAACTGCAAATTAACAAAAAAGAGACGCGCAAAAACTGATCATAAAAAAGTGAGGTAAAGGAAACAATCAACGCTGAACCTCACTCGAAGATATATGTATCAGTTCGAGTCATCACACTTTGTGACGGCGTGATGAGAACAAACACTAATGTAATGTGATAAACGAAATATATAAAAAGCGTGCCGGAAGAACGAAATACTAGGAATAATCAGAATAGTCAAGAAATGCAAGGCAAATAATGGATATCTCTGCTCCTTTGATAATGACTTTGGACTATCCCATCAAGTGTCACTGCTTTACGCTGTTTTGAAGAGTCCCGATAAACACTTTCACATCTCCCTACTGCCTTATGACATTGGTCAATGGCGCAAACACATGTTATTTTCCCTATCTTTAATCATTTTCCAACCTATTTGCACTTCAGGTACGAGTGAATGTATCCTTGACACATGGTTCAGCCAGATAAGTCGATGTAGGTTAAAAACCTCACCAATTAACGTGGTTCATCATGCTGAAATGAAACGGAGCAACTTGGATTGTCAAATATCTGTACCAGACTTTACTTCATTTCCAGAGGTCTGACTAATATACAACTTGATACCTAATTCTAAACTTAGGCATTCGAAAGTTTTCCACAAAAGCTTTGTTATGAAGAAACACTAAAATATACCTAGTCTATATGTATCTACTAACATGAAATGGTATCATTGATGGTTACAGAGTTGGAAAGAGAAAATCGATTAGCTATATGGCCTCTCTTTGACAGGCTCCATGAGTGAAGCAGATTAGTAAATGCCAAGCAATTATTCTGTATTTGTGCTATGATTTCTTCAGTGAAGGATAAACAAACAAAATAAGACATGAAACAGATAGACTTTCAATAAACAATGAAGGTAACTGCTAATAGTAAGAAAAAGGCTTCACATGTCTAAATTATCACAATATAATATGAATCATACTACAAAGAATTTCAACGATTGATTTTTCTCACTCTTGATTACTTTCGTCACATAAAGCTGGCATGGCTTAGATTACCAACTTGATATTATAAAAATAGATTATTTCTGACAACTTGGAGATTTAATGACAGGACATAATTAATAGTGGACTTTAAATGAATATAGTGTAGTGAATGTGCAAAGCTATAAACAAAACATTGTGAATTCTTAAGTAAACAGAGTTACAGTTTTTCATCAAGTTGCTAAGATCTGTTCAAAATATTGAAGATTTCATGCAAATTTGATGAAAGCTAATTAAGGATCACGGATACTAGGAAGGTGAAAAAAAGGTTTCTCTATTCGAACATTCTGAAAAATTCATTGTTACACGATTTCGAAAAGAACAAAAAGTTCAGTATTTCACCTAAATGTCTACAAGATTAAGCTAAGTATTATTCGATTGTCTGTCATTTTAAATGAATTTCGCCTGGAGTTCACAAGACAATTTTTGATAGAATTATTGAGGATTTCAAATACCCAGGAAAACACCGGCTTACTGATTGTTTTGTCTTTATCCTATAACACTGAGTTTCTATTTTCAGTCGAGCCAAAACTAATCACAGGAACTATCCTTCATTTTTACTCCATCCAAAGATTATATTTTCTCAATGGTCTACGATTCTTTCAAATATTTCCAACTCCACTGTACGCGTATGTTGTTTGCCTAAATGAATTCTCTATAGTCTCTATTATGTAACTTTTTCTTGGAAAATTTGTCTTTTAGAGTACTCGGAGCTAAAATAAGAAAAGGTGTCATAGAGTTGAAGTATCGAAGGAAAATATGGATTTGTAAAAGACAGAGTATTAATTGCTATTTAAGTGAATAAGATTACGTCTGGTCAATTTATAGTAAATTCAAATATCTAGGTTAAATTAGTTTCTTCATTTTGTAGTATCAATGCCATTTTAGAGCCGTAAGTTGAACACCAACGCTTTTATCCACGTATTTCAACTACTACAGAGATTGACTGAAAATTGATTGTGACTTATTATACATTATCTAGTGGCTGATAACCATGAAACGTTAGCAAAATATTAATTTATGACACAGTTAGCACCAGTGTAGCAATTTTGATGGAAAATAATTTGACTTGAAGCTTACCACAGCAGCTACACGATTACACCATTCTGAAGGATCAGGGACATGAAATTTTGATAGACCAAGTGAATGGAGTTGTTTCGTAACATCACATGAATGTTCACTAGCTGATTCATTTCGCAATATATCAACAGCTTCATTTAAATCGAATGCGCTGCAAATGCGACCTGGAAACATACACATTCGTGGCATTGCAGGTTGTAATCTAATAAGTGGTAATAATGAAAATTGTATTCCCAATGAATTCGATAATAAATGTTCACTATCAAATTCAGATATATTTGAAATACCATTAGGACATATAGGTTCCGAACCTAAATTCCATGAAGATCGAATAGTTGAAAAAGTAGATGATGAAGAACCACTCGGATGTCTTTCACGTCCTCTACTAGATGATTCCCCAAGTGAAGACAAGGAATAAAGAAATTTTCCAGATGGTCTAAGGCAAACTCTCATTCCACCACAATCGACTAGACGATAAGTAATGCCAACAACTCGATACTTTACAAATAATAGTGATAATAAACAAGAAAAATAAATATAGTCAGTGAATGATAAAAGTTAACTATTTAATATGATGGACAAAATATTATATAAAATGATGGATATGATAAGATCTAACTAAATGATAGGATTCTTTTCACTTTTTTGAAGGTTGATTAAATTAGTAAAGATTTTAAAAAATTAAGTTTATGAAAAAGAGTATATTTCACATTATTGAGAAACTAAACGCTCATAACACGACAAAATGAACTTTCAATGAATATTCTATTTTGAGTTATATAAATAAAAGAAAGATATTATTTCTGTTTTTAGGCTTAAAATAGAATAAACAGAATGGTTTTAAACCAGTAAACCGAATGAAGAGACAGTCAGTCATGTACATCGACTGTTAAGTTAGAGGTCTGAAGAACTTCAGAAATGCTATAACTTTTTACTTATTTATATTACCTTAAAATAATAATCTATTGAACTTTTCATCAGGGTTTATTTGAATGAAACAACTCAAAATTATAAACAACATCACATAACCATTAGAATTAATAAAAGTAAAAAGGAATAGTAATATATGGACATTATTTATACGTGAGAGAAAATACTTACATGTAAACATGTATTTGAATCATCGAATGAAGTACTTGATGTTAACAAATCTAAAGTTGGTACTACACCAATCGACAGTTTAATTCCATTCGTATGAGATGGTAATCTGCAGTTTACATCTGAATTAATTCGTCTCCAAAAGCATTCTGTATTGGAATAAGGAAATTGTCTATGCAATTCAGCTTCTTCTAAAAGACAACCGCTTTCCAGACGACCATAGAAGCCATTCTGTATTATATTATAAAACCCAATAAATTACATCAACAAGTATATAACATTGTAATATATTTTATATGTAAATTATGTAATAAAAAGTTTGATGAGAATGTAATTAGATTGCGTAACTGACTACTCGACGTTAAAATGACTGAAGATTTCTCGAAAAATCCGGGGGAATACTAGCAAGCCAACCAGCTAGTACTGAACCAATGAATATTTGGACTAAGCAAGATAGGCGTTTGAAAGAACACTTGAAACAACTTCAATGACCTACTAGATGTTATATGATACTGCTGGAAAATAGTAACGCACATTCCTGAACATGGGATAACAAGTGAATGAATACAGGTTATCAGAGATGAAAAGATGAGGTAATATATTGAACATCTTTAATAATTGGTTACATTTACAGCATGCCGTTCACTACTTTCATCATTAATTTGTTACAATATCTGTAAATAGAAACATTAGGAATGAATAATATTTTACACTTAAAAGGTGTACAGAATCGTAACCTTAATGCTCGGTTTGTTACTACCATCTACATGATTAACTAATTAATTTTATTCAAGATATCATTCATAAACATAGTATATTTATTGCAAATTCTATGAACAATATGCATTCAACCAGTAAGTCAATTATCTTGAAACTTAGAATTTCTACAATTAGGATTTGTAGGTTGATTTGACCAACAAATTCATTCTGATAATTTTATCAGTGAATTAAAGTGTCCTGACATAGATAAATGCAATGAAGTCACTTATTTTCTTTGCTTTCTCTCTGTCTTGTAAAAGGAAATTGAAAATCTTAAACTTCATTACAGAATTACTGTAAACAATTGTATCAAGTATAGTAGGTCTTTTCAAGAAAACAAATGTTACAAAATTCATTAATGAAAACAAAATGAATGTAATGATACCTCTTTTGTTTGATTTTTCACATTTCCAAGATCAAGATTACTCAAATGTGAAGTGGGTAGTAATTTAACTGATTGTGGAGTTTCCACAGTTAAAAATATTGCTTCTAAATGAATTAGGTTTGATAAAGCATCTGAACATTCATTGTTTACAGTAGAACCACCACCAAATGATGATTCATAATCGGAAGTCAATAACGAAACACGATTGGATGATGATTCCTTAGTCGATAATCCAATATTAACTGGCATCAATTCAACATGCTGTAATTAAATCGTTGAAAATAAAACAATAGTAACAATTACATACATAGATGGATAGTGTCTAACAGTCGAACTTAAAACGCATGTTTCGTCTCACTTGAGACTAGTCAGCTGAATATACATGCATTACAGAACTGATGCTTACTCCGGGACTTTTGAACCCATTATCATTCGCATCAAACTTTATCGCGTTAACCACTTATCTACTGAATCCGGATAGTCATTCGCTTGTGTCATTCAAAGAACTAATAAAAATGAATGCGAACTATTATTATTATTATTATTATTACTATTATTATTATTATTATTATTATTATTATTATTATTAATACATTGGAGATAAGAATAATATCAAAGTAAAGAAAAATACTTTTTACTAACAAAGGAAAAATGATCGAAGCTTTTAAGATTTTACAGTTTTATACTGTTCAAAATTATTGGATAGAGTAAGATGAGTATGATCAATGCTATGTGACAGATTCATTCTAAAATATTTCAAAGAATAAAACATGATGTTGTGACATACTTTTTAGAAACATTCATAAATGAATAATTTATAGATATACATAACATCTTAACCTATTTCAAACTAGAATGTCATTAAATATTCTACATTATAATAATTAAATTATTTGTATTATTATTCTTTATGAATATAACCATTACAATGAATTATTTTATATGTAAGCTGAGAAAATTGCAAGTTCTTTAATTCAATTAACCGTGTATTATTGATTTCGCTTTAATAACATTTCTTAAAGCATATTGTTAGTTTTATAATTTAGTTTATTAGAACTAAATAAATTAATGAAAAATTATAAGCTTTGATTCACTTAAGGTTAGTTTGAAAGGCAATTTAGTTCTAGATTAAACAACAATAATCATATATCTAATGAAGACTCTTTATATATATATATATATATATATATATATATATAACCAACTCAGACGTGAATAAGAAAATAAACATGTAAACATACTAAGATTTTCTAAATTTACTCTTAATCGAATAATTTCTTATATTTATTTTGTACTCTACTAATAGATCATTTATAATGCGTCATTTTCTAATGACATGATTATGTATTATTTCGAATAGCACTAAAATATATATTAACAGTTAAGATCAAATTTGAAGTTGTAATTCTTCAACGTATCTCTAACATTAATTGTTTCTGAACGGTCAGGCCACAAAGTTTAATTGAAATTGAAAGTAATGTGGTGAACAATGCTTCATCATAATCCCTGATTATACTTCTACGAATGCTATCCCAGATGCAACTAGTGTCAAATTTTACCATTTATTGGGTGTTTTCATAACCAAGTGTATTCGATGGATATTGTGGTGTTGACTATCAACAGAATATCACGCACACATTGTTTAGTTCATACGAAAAAGTACATTACACAAAAAGCACTTACTAAATCAGATATTCTTAAATCAACTGGGAGCTTGTTATCAACTATCATTTCTATGTATCCAGGTTCTTCACAAACCCAATCGATTACTTGTAATAAAAAAACCATAAAAACAATCAGTGAATGGAACAAAAGTTGAAGATGGTATGAAAAGGTAAAAAAAAATTAAGTGTTTTTTAATGGATAATTCAAGCGCTTTATACTCTTATAATAATTAGTAATTAAATTGAGCATGAGTTCCATTATTTTTGCGAAAGACTAGACCCCAATAAAAGTGAGGTTTGATATATACTCTGTTCAAACACTATATCATTATCTACTGAGTAAATAAGAAATGATAGTTATCATTACAGTGACATAAATATTTTTATGGCATGGTTCGTATCTCTGAATAATGATTTTGAATTGATCAACATTCATAGGGATTCGGATGCATTTCTCGATATAATTTGTTCCACTTTCATTACGACTTTATTTCGTAACTTATATACCTCTGAAAAATAGAGTTTGTGAAGGTTTAATTCAAACAGAGAAATGTCTGTGTAATTGCCCACAATAAAGTTGCTTGTGAATTGAAGTTAATTTAGAGGTGACATAGGTAAATCACTATCATATTGAACTACATGTTGATAAGTTATTCAAGACAAGGATAGTTTGGATTTGAGTTCAAAGGAATCCTAAAAGTATTTCAATAACCCGACAACATATGAAATACCTTCAAAGCTTAAAAAACCTAACCAATTTTGTACTTAGAAAATGTATATATTCAATTCTGAATTCCAAAATCAGTAACCATAATGTACATAAAAATGTAAATCAATATATTATTGAAACAAGCTATGAAAAATTGATCATATTCAACATCATATTGTAGAATATTGAATCCAAACGTATATTTCTCATTAAATAATTGTTTGTTTATTTTAAATTTCACATGACTGATAGACAAATTAAGATTAACAATTGAATAACAATTAATAATCTTATATATGTCCTCAAAACTGACTACAACAGTAAAGTATAAGATACTTTCTTTCCATGGTATAAAACTACAAAATGACAGAGATTTACTTTATTAAGCCACAACCTTGTTACTCACATGATACAAAAAAACACAAATGACATACTACATCTACATACATATACATATATTCCATTATCAAGGCGCAGCAGAAATTCAATCTATGGTGATCAAAATAATCTCAAAGACGTCCAATAAATTATACGTCAAAATAGCGTATTTCTGATGATTAATGGATGAATGAACAAAAACAGATTCTCCTATTATTCAAATAAATAATAATGTTAGTGTTGTAGAGGAAAGAAGTTACGCAGACTGTTGAAATTTGTCGTTTTAAACAGCTTATGGTGTGAAAACACAAACAATAATGTATTGCATATACACTATGCTATGACAATCCTTTAATGTTACAGAAAATGACAAAGAAAAATTTCGCTTTAATATACAGAGACTTTTTTTGAGTTGGACCACTTATTAAGTAGAATATTTATAACGATTTGTATGTGGTTATTTTAGAGAATAACATGAGGTTTCTTAGTGCATGATGAGAAAAGTTAAAGTAATAAAGATTATTAATTTCGAATGAGTGTGTAGTGTATTGTGAAAAGTATGAAGATATCATAGTTATGCACAGTTATTTCAGCAAATACAAACATGCCTTTCGTAAGAGGTGATATGTTTAACATCACAGCATAAATCAGTTTCCCAAACAATTATAAAAATTTTATAATATGGATGTACGCCAAGCAGAATAAAAGACATCAACACAACAGATAAAACTTATGGATATGGAACAAATGAGGTAAAGAATCATGATCATTTAGTAAATGTCACCACCATAACCAACTGACAAACATTAAGTTGAATTTAAAAGGAACACTTAGACAATCAGATATTCATATTTTTGTGTTCGGTTTGCCGTCATACACGCATTTTCTAAATTACTATACACGACAATTAGAGATCAGTTAAGTTATAATACATGCTTAAATGCGTGACATAGTTGGCTAAACGTTTATATGTAGATCACCAACTGAGTTGCGTTTCTACTCTAACCAAGAAATGCCTTGTGAAAAAAAGTGTACGAGTCCGTGAATGTTTGAAAAAAACAAATGTAAAATCAACTGTGAAATTAATTCAAAGAATAACACATACTCGAATGTTTAGTTGCACTAGAATTATCCATTTGAAAAGGATTATAAACAAATGGATCAGTGGGTTTTGATGATTCTATATTGTTGTTAGATTCCGGTGGTTTTGATTTATTTCGATCTGATCGAATAATAACTGTACGAGATCTATTCAATGAAACTACATTCTCCGCTCCGTTTTTAGAAATTGTATGAGGTAACAGATTACTTGGCAGTGAAGGTATATGGATCAATCTTAAAATGAGAGTAAAAAATGTAATACGATTATTTATGAACTTAAGCAGTAACTTACATATTTCAAAACCGTAATTATTGTTCAATTACACGTCACTCATGAAGCATGTTACGAGTAGTTGCAAAGACAATAAAAATTGATTATTCAAAGTCTCTAAAATGATTTGGGGAAAATAATTGAATAACTAGGTGGTAAACTTACAAATTGCATTTAGCCATCTAACAATATGAACCACCCAGTGACCGATATTATCACTATAAAGTTCGTAAAAGCTGCGGTAAGGTGACCTAAAAATGCGTTGTCTCAAAACTTAGATAGGAAAGTATACCATAGGAAACAAATCCATCTGTTTCAGAAACCATATCAATGCAGGCTTACAGGTGTACAAAGATAGTTTTCTGAGAGTGAGTTATGTGAATATATATACAACAGAGATCGAGTGTACACAGTATTTGAAGGTCACTTACATCTTAACTCGTTTTATTAGCACTACAAATTAATCTCAATGACGATGTATCAGATAAATTTTCTGAATCGAATCATTAGAATATCGCTGGTTACATCATTTTTGAAATCAAACGATAGCTATCAACAAATTTATCGTTTTTATGGATAAGAAGGATTCTCAGTAGTGATATACTGTTCTCACTCTTTAGATTGAAATTAAATAGATGATCATTTTTCATCCCATTATAAAGCAAAGTCAAACTTTGATAATGGTTACATCTTACAAATTTTAGATTGTCAGAGAGAAAAAAACTGCTACATTGACTTATATGTAATTAAATTAAATAAACAGTATTGTAGTGTGATAAATAATTCATTAGGTGGCTGAATGTACTTCGGAAATTTTTATTTTCTTCTGATAGTAATTTCGATTCAGTCACAATTCAGTTACTAAGTCCAAGTTTTCATATTTGCCCTCATTCTTAAAGATAAGTAAGCGTGTACGGGGGTTGGGGTAGTGAGGTTAAAATATTTGATTCAATGGTTAAAAGGCAGATACTTAGATTATTTATATAGAGATATATCTGACAATAAAGTTTAATACACATGTTGACAGGCTACTAAAAGCAATCAATAACTGATCAATAATGACCTATGTATTTATGAGAAGGGCCATTAGTATCTGATCAATTGAACCTAAAGTTGAATGCTAAAACTTTTAGGACTGCAAAATAAATTAAATTATCATTGTAAAGATGGAAAAGCAATATTAAAGTCTGTTATTTGTTTCAGAAGAAAGTAACGAGAGTAAAACAAAAAAATAGCATCGTGAAATCGCAATTAATTTTTACAAATGACACTTAGTCAGTTAATCATAAGCAACGTCGAGCCCGGTACATAAGTGCGTTGGCTCGACTTACCACATCAGGACGATTAGATGAAATTAAGAGGATAAGTAGCAAATGAATCGAACCGATGCAAAATTAGTAATAGTGAAAAATATTCTGAGACATCAAAAAATATCCTCAACCATTGACCGCTTATCGCGTAGACTCTGAAAAGGTAATCAAACAATTTTATTGGGTTGATAGAGTTACCCAAATATTCTCCAATATATAACTTAAATTTCAAAAATATTACATGACAAAACTTTTGTACGCACTATTGCACATATACGATTTTTAAGAAAAATATCTTACCTAACTAAGGGCAACTGATGCACTGGTATTTCTACCAAATCTAACATTTTATTCTCGACCACTTTCGTCTGTACTTCTTCATTGTTATTATTCATTAAATAACAAAATCTACTTGGTGAATAAACTACACGACAATTACGAGGCCATCTACGAGAACGGACATTTTCTTGAGTAGAATAATTTAATAAAGTTATACTAGGTAAATTAGTTGGTTGGTCTGGACAACGAAGTACCGCTAAACAGCATAAATCATCCATACAAGATATACAACTACTTTTTTCTAGATACTCAGGCCAACTGTCCAGTACAGAGAAACAGTATCTACAAATAATTTTTTTTGAAAATAAAAGAGTAGTCTCAGACAGATATGGATGAAGTGGTAGCTCATCAAATGAAAACAAATAAACAGAATAGAAATACATAAAAAGCAATACATTATGATACCAGGAGTGAATATTTAAATTGTTTCATAATGATCACTGTGAAATAGATGATAATACTGGGTAATATTTGTGTATGTACATACGGAAGAATGAAAGCAAGAACTAACGTTTTTCTCTGAATCAAACAAATTGATCGATGACCCTGTGTTAAGACTAATGGTTGCTACCTGGTCCAGTAGGTTAAGCGTTCGTGCGCAAGACCGAAAGCCCTGCGTTTCCCGTGAACAGCACCGTCGAAAAATCACTGTTAGCCCCAAAATGCCCTATTATGGCCGAGAGTGGAGAGAGTCCGCTCTCCCTCTCGAAATGCTTTCACATGGCCATGCGTATATAGCCTCCGCCAGGGAAGTCCTACTCATTGCCTTCTCGTGGCGGTGTTTTTTACGAAATTGAGAGAACGGAAAACGAATATCTGGCGCTTTAACCGGGTTAATGGACATGGAGAGTCCACCTAGGGAAGTTGGAAAACCCTGATTCCAAACCAATGGTGAACATGGGCTCCAGTACCCTGAGGGAACAAATGGCTTATGAACCAATTATTGGTCACCGGCTACCATGGGACTGCATCTCCTGACGTTTCTCCACTGCCTTGTGGATCAGACCTTCAGGTCGAAGGCTCGGGGCGTGGCCCCCCAAGAAAACCACCTGTTTCCGTTCGGGCACCCAAACAGTAACCCTCGCACATATCAAATGAGATTTGTGTGGCACATATGTATTTGGTGCCTCCTTGTACCAACATCTATGTGTTAAAATAATAAATAAATAAAATGCTGCCTGAAACCTTACACATGAATAAAGCCTTCATAAGATTTTCCACCGTTAATACGAATCCCCTTGATAATTATCGACGACCCCTATAGTATTTTTTATGACGGGAAAGATTTGGATAAAGTAGTATTTAATTTATTGATCTATTTACCAAAAATATGAACAAGAAATTTAATGTGAGTTTTTGAATATTATATCAATTATTTCGCATACAATACCTAACTACTTCATTCAAGAAAGACTACGGCTATAATTTATCCTCCAGTGCGTTTCTACAAAGTGCTGTTAGGATATACCTTTCTTTATATCACTGTTTTCGAAACTCGTTTTCAAACAGTTGATCAAACTCATTAATTAAATTGACTAGTTGATGATTAGAAATATATTTTGTAATCTTTAAAACAAAATGCCAATAAATGAAAATTTATTGGATAGTCAAAGGTTTTCAATAGTACACATTGCACGAACTATATACTTGATATTTCTATTAATGTAAATAAGATATCAACGTTTCCATATACATTTTCACATTAATCAGAAATAAACATAAAAAATACACGGTAGAGTTTATAGAAACAATTTTCATTCTATAACCTATATGGAAGTGTTGAGTGTTTAAAAGAAGTTTAAAAACTTTAAAGTTAGGCTTACTCTGTGCAGAAACCTATGATTATGATTGACGTAGAACTGTGAGAACATTAATATTTGCTTTACAATCTTATTAGTACAATAGTAACAAACAGTTGGTGACATATTAAAGCATTTTATTCAAAAGACCATACTATATGTACAATAATACTTTGTAAGTAATACGTTATGTATAAGAAGTGTATAACTTAATGGCTTAACTGCTTCCAAGTATAAAGCACGCTGGCGCGTTATATATATATATATATATATATATATATATATATATATATATATATATATATATAATGAATCAAAATTTAACAATTCACAATTGTACTTTTTCATTTACCCAATAAGTTTTAATCCAATATCCCATGGAATTTCAGATATATCTTCCAGATTAATTTTTGCTTTATATTCATTAATTAAATAAAATATGACTTTCAATTGTAAATCACACCAACCAACTAAACGGAATAGTAGACATGATTTTGATGAATATAAACTATTGGAATTAGAACTCATGTTTGAATTAATATGACGTGTATTATTAGACATGGATTTTAATTTAATTATATTATTAAATATACTGGTTGAAAGCGTTGATGAATTTGATATCGTTGTGGTGAGACGAATTAACCAATGTGATTGATCAGGTATAACAAATGGACTCCATAATGGGGGATTCGCAATTAAACGATAGGTGACGTTTACTGGTGGTTTATTTTCATTTATTAAATAGCTTAAATCTTTGTTAGTGATGTTATTACTATTATTATTAGTAGTAATAGTGGTATTAATAGTAGTATCGTCATCACCATTTAGGAGTTTCGTTTCAGTCATTTGCGTAATATTCGATGAAAGTGATTGAATTTTTAAACCATTAAATAAAATTTCATGCTCAAATTCAACACGATTCAGTCGATTTGATGATAATAAAAGCCATAGGGCTAAACTAGCCTTACGATTGAAATTCATCAATTTATATAAACGAACAATAGTGAAATAACGTTTCATTGAACAAGGATTCTAAGATAAATAGAAAAGACAGATGGAAAAACAAAAAAAATGAAAACCAAATATCGTTAAGTCAAAATGAAAGCTATATTATAGATACACCTTGATCTCGAATCATATTTACGATGCTTAGCCTTTCTCACTGTCATTGTTACATCGTAATTCGCTAGTCACCTTACTAATTTAATATCGTTGCGCTACTATGGTATAGCAAATCCGGGTAACACAATTTATTTAAAGCTCTATATTGATAATGACTGACTGACTACTTGATCATTGGAAAGAAACCGATTGATAATATGCAATTTTCACGTATTGTTAACTATCCAGTAATGTATTGGACGTTTCAGCTGGTTTAAGTTAGCTGAAGATTAAGTAATTATATATAAATCTTTATTTGTCACATTTTCATTTAGTTCAAGATAATTATTGAACAATATGCAATGCAATTAATTAGAATTAATTTAGCAGGTATAATGGTTGATTAAAGGGCTAATAATAATGTGTTATTCAGTCCCGCTGTCAAAAGAAAAGATGCTGTTAACAAGCATTTTCTTATTGGATTATGAAGTACATCAATTATGTAAGGACTAATAACATCACTTGTCTATCTGTTCAAATTGTATTAAACGTACAATATATCCTACTAGAACTGTTATATGATCATCAAAAAATCAAGTATTCATACAAAAAGGGATAAATAAATTGATTGAATGTTAAATTTTATTTCTTAATTGGTTAATAGATTTAAGAAAACTCTAATATTATTTTATGATTTAAATTAAAATAGTCAAGTTTAAAAGTATTACACAATAATGAAATGGAAATTAACTGAGCAAAATTAACTTAAGTTCCATTGTTATAGTATTGTTATGATTTAAGAGTTTTAAATATACATACATTGTTGTTATTAGTAAGCTAGAAGAAAAGTTGTGCACGCTATCTTGAATCCATATAAACAGCACATATGGTCGAAATATCTTTTGACAATGAATTGATCTCCAAGAAAATCTCGGAAATTTAATTTTACTTAAGACAGGTTATTTAAACCTAAACAGTTGCGTGAATTTACATGGAGACATGTTATATGCGTAAAACGGATGGTATCCGCTGAGGATACTCGGTGTGTCTATTTTCGATTAGCCCTATCATGTAAGCATTGATGTACCATTGATGTCGTTCATTAGTGACTCTGGAGGGATCGATTTCTTGCTTATGATGTGTTTTAAATAGACCGATAGTGAAAAATCACCGATCTCATCATTAACTCGGGCAAAAACCTAAGGATTTCTGCATATGTCTGGTAACAAACTACTATAACTGTGTGACGGCAGCAGATTAGAGGGTAGCGAATTACTGATCAGACCAAAGACGCGCAAACACGTAGAACGGCCTAGAGTTCTGATTGGTCCCGCTTCTCTGTCTAGCCCAGCCGGTTGAGTCCAGAACACAAGTCTCAGCCACTGCGATATGAATCATTATATTTCAAACACACTCTGTTTATATACTAATCAAGCAGACCACATCGTACCATGAAATAGAAAACATTGTACAGTATTGACCAGTAGGAAAATGACACGTTAAATGAATATTGACCAATGAGGAAATAATACCATCTCCAAGTCCAAGAATAGCATTAGACTTAATAAAATAATTTTTGGGATATTTTCCTGAATATCCCAACACAAACATATGAAAGTTGATACTCCAAAATTATTCTATACTGATATTTATATGTAGTAACTGAGATTATAGATGACTTTGCTTAAATTAGGAACTTCACCAAATACAAGGGGTATTATATCCTTACAAGCAATCTTTCTTTTATATATTATTATTAATGAAGTAATTGCTTCTATGGATTTGGTGGTCATCTTATGCTAATGAGGTGTGGTAACTTAGACCGATGGCCATGTGCCTGGCCCTGCGTTGTAACTGACTGACTGACAACAGGCCGGTCGTCAACAAAATCTATCTTTAAATCCTGAAGATCTAATAATAAATAACTTCTTTATTCCCTGACTTATTTTACCTAATCCCAATACCTATCGATGTTATATGAACCCTTTTTTAAGTTTCTTCCAATCTCAACTATCCAACAATCAAACAAACAAATCATATTACAATTTTTTGAACAATAATCACTGATTGGATAATTTCATATTACACAAAATCTTTTAGTATAGTTAGACAATTAAGTAAAATAACGCACTGAAAAACAGTAAACTACCTCAGTACTAAACGAGGAAAGAGATGGTCCAACCAACGAATCAAGAATTTCACAAGCTTTACGCTTTTGCTAAAAAAAGCGCAGATGAAAAAGACTTTATTCAGAAAAACTTAGACTCAAAATATGATGGAATCAAACAAAATCACATGATCCAAATATATTCACTAATCAATAATATGTAGAGTGTCTTCTTAACATAAAGTAGCACACTACTAATCGTTGTATCGGCTACAGAACATTCTTACTACAAAACACTGATTAACATTAATTGATCAATAAACGTTTAGCGAAAATGGACTCGGACAACTGATACCGAGAAAAGTGGTCACTAGGACTAGAGAAATCAAAAATGCCAGTTGCTGATAGCTATAAATATTGGACGATATTTTCAGGTGATATTTTTTAAAGATTAGACAATGAATATATAAAAACAAAAATATTTGATTTACGATATGTAATACTAAAATTTCCGTGTTGAGTAGCTGATGTATTAATCATGACACCTTAAACCACAGAATTATTATTCATGTCTGTAGTCATCAGATAGTCGCCCCTACAATTCCAAAGAGAGTTATGCTCTATCAGAGAATTAAACGTGAATAAATAAGCAGTAAACTACTTGACAGCTGATAACATGTAGGAGTGAGTGGTTAATGCTAATCAATCATATTTGGTCATCAGTGATAAATCCAAACTATTGTGTCTTACATGTTAAGTGAGGAAGTGAAGTTACAGTACGCTGTATTTGGTGTTCGGTTTTCTTCAAGAAGTGGTCAGTAACTGTTTATGTGGGTATCCTGTATGATAACAAATAAAATGTAGGTATTGACTGAGGCACTGGAAATTTTCTTTAAATTACTGACATGCTTTACTTAGAAGTGAATGGAACTTGTTTATCAGCTACCAATGTGGTTCAGTTTAACAGTTAGCGAATCCATGGATCTGTAATATATATTCTATGTGAACACATATCACTTTGGCTGATATCATGTGGTCCCGTCAAATATTAAAAACATCCAATTAACGACCTCTAGCCACTTTCCAACGTGTCCGAGTCTACAAAGCATATGCGTTAATGTGGGGGGTGGCTGAAGATGAATGAGGTTATTGTTGAGTTTAAGCTGTCTTCGATTTAACAATTAGGAAGGATTTGAAATTCTAGTGCACATTTTCAGTTGGCAAGATAGTGATAAATAATAAGTCAAAAGATTCAGCATAGAGCTGTTATTTTCAAAAACAGAAAACAAACCAATCTTGTAAATAAATTATTTCGTATCATACTTCTGATCCTGTTAAACTTACTGATTCAGAGATAAGTAGTCGAATCACTTTGAATTTGAACTCCTCAAAAAGATAAGGATTTAACTCAACCTAAATATATTTAAAAAGTATACCAATATAAAACAACAAACAATAAAGGTATGATAGACAAAAACAAACTTTAATTCAAATATTATTATTATATAGGATGGGAGACTGAAGTCATTATGACGCTACTTTTTATTATGGATTGACATGAACTGGAATACCAGTGAAAACTTGGTAGCACTAAACAGCTGTTTCGAGTTCCGAAGGATAGCGTACCCATGACCAGATAAGGGACGGAACTCAAGACCATTAAGTCCTACAGAGAGCCCGTTACTTTCAGACAACTGATTCGGAATCCAGTAGTTCACATTTTTAACTTGTTGTAATTCGTGACATATTGCGACTATTGTGTAACATTATCTATAATAACTATTTCATTCAAAACATAGCTATCTCCAGTTGTCCAGCCTTTTACAAGAACACAAAGAAATTCATAGAGAAGCTAATCATTAATGAGCATATGATCGTTGTTTAAGTAGGTGGTTTTTGAATTCTGCTCAACCTGAAAATAGCTGTTATCGTGGAACGACACCAACCGAATAATAAATGATAAACCAAGAAGAACTTATAAGTTGTCTCTTCTCAATTTAAGGCTACTCTAGAATGGAGAAAAGACGACAACCCTCGATATGTCCATCAGTAATTGGATTTCAGCAGTTCTCAAACTGATGTCAGTTTGTGATGAAATCTATTCTCAAATTCAACCATTTTCCTCAAAAACAACTAATTGAAAATCATTTACTATCATTACTGGCATAAAAGACTGAAATTAGAAAATTGACAGTTTAATTCAACATGATGTCATTTTAAGATTTCCACACTCTTGTGCCATCAGTTGTTATTTGAGTAGGGAGTTTTCACGGATGAATTTTCCGATGGACATTTGATATTTTAACGAGATATCTTATACTGGTACTTTGGGAGGATGAATTACACGAAGAATCTTAGTACAGTAATTGACTGTCTCATTAATTTTTTGAAATGAAGGAAAAAGTTGTATTTAAAGATATGAAGGATCTTTATTGCTTGAGATGGTTAATACCTGTTTTACGCCTATCCGTTCACCAACTGCTTCTACGTACGATGATGGCCATTGTAGAAATAGGTGGGAAGAAAATTAATGATGGGCAAACCAAGATGAGGCCTCAGTCTATGAAGACACTGACTAATGGACTAGGTGCAAACTACCTGGCTGTGGTCCATGTAATTATCATGACCAATGATTAAAGACGTTGGGTAACACGGCTCGAAATCATTCGCAATGGAGCAGGTGCTTTCACTTGTTGTGCTTCCTTAAATCTTAATTTCCTAAATTCCGTAAAAGCCTTTTTATATTTTCTCAAATTGTATATGTAACGCTCAATATTAATACTGTTACTACCTCTACTACTCTGGGATTTGTCCTGACAATTTTCTCATTGTGCCAATGTATGCGACAACTTGAACCGAAGAATGAATTTGCCAAGTTTTATGTTGCGTATGACTTACTGAATAATTCACTGATATCTAGTATTACTTAAACAGTACATATTAATGGAAAAAAGTGCAACAAGAGCAAAGCACTACACACCTTGTGGTATAACTCAATTGTTTCCAAAGCGTAATTACAACAATCAGTGGATGATATTATAAGAGGGTGGTATAATTTTGACGAAGCGAGATCTAAACTTGAAGATGTTGAATGTTCTGTAAAAGGGAAATTTAAAGAAAAATTCTAAGTCAGAGTAATAACCAGAAACAGAAAGGTAACCAACACATACTTTCTTGCACCAAAAACATTTACACTGGTAGATCAATGAATCTACACTCCAGTCAATAGTTGATTAAGAAATTAAATAATAATTAATTCATCGTTTCCATCTTATTGATCAAATTAATTGGACTGTATCCTGACATGTTTAACTTTAATGGAATTCTAACATGTTTATTGAGATTGACTGTAACAACGAAGAATAATTTTTATAATAAGTAAAATATCATTTTATTGTAGAGATGAAAGTCTGATGTATGGATTGCTACAATAAAACCACAGATATAAAAATATTTATAATATCTAAAATAGACTAGGTTAATTATCAAATATACAACGTTTCTTAAACAAGAATCACAATTATTACCATTAAAATGTACATAATTGTGAAGACTTCATAAGATGAATAACCGAAGTGAAATAACTTTTACCAAAAAACTAATAGTTAAATTGAAGCGTCATCTGTCATCTGTGATTAGACTCATTAATACTGTCCAAATTTGTTATTATTGACTAATTTTATAATGGGCATGATACTAGAGTTAATACTGTCTCATTTGTGAGGAATCCGCTTGATGTATACAGACGACACAGCCAAGTGTTATTACAATTGCTGACAGAATCTTCTTTCCACATTGATTAACAATGGAAGAAGTCTTGGTATGTGTATTGTACTCCCTTGGTAGGAAACGTCGCTCAGCTGCAACTCATCAAGTACAGACTCGTGTAATGGGCTTATAACTTCGCTTTGTGTATGAGACCTAGTGATACTACTCGGATACCCAAACTGAAGTAGGTGAAGCAGGCCTCAAAATTGCAGCCTGGTATTTGAAAGTCAAATGTCTTAACCTCTAAGGACATATCTGTGCCAGTTTTTCACTTAACAGAATGATGGCTGACAAAATTTTAGCACTAGCATAGAAACCTTTGATTAACCTTCGGCAACTTACGTCATACATATGATCATTTATAAGTAAAAGGTCATTAAAGCTAGAAAGCAGTCCGCGATATTGCATAGACAATCTGCTGATACGTGAATAATTAAGAGGACTTTAAAACCATTAATTAAACAGTTATAAAGTAAAGTACAACACAAAATTAAATGTAATTTGCAAAACGGAAACAATCATCTAAAATCGAAATATTTTATCAAAATTATGTAACTGTAAGTTATCAGTAATTGTTGAAGATTGACACATACCCAGCATATCTGATTCCTGGGAATGTGATTTCCGTAGTTCACCATTGGTTAAATTATCATCTAGATGACGCTGCTGAAGAAATTTCGAACGTGTTGTTCCTAGGTTTGAGGAATGATCAGAAGAATGTTGACACATAGCAACTGCACAAAGACCTTCTAGAGCACCTGAAATAGTTAAAACAAGTTATAAATAGATTTTTTATTGCAAGGATTACTGTCAAGTTATGACTCGATAATATTAAGTGAAGTAACCATAAGGTAGTATTTTATTATAGAAGAGGTATATCTACCAATTCCTGATGAGTAAAAATATTAATAACGCTCATGAAAGCTAATTCGGACAACTTTACCTAGAAGTACATAGTTAGTTAGAATAGTAGCAAATTAGAGAACAAGAGATGGGCGCGCCAAGGCATCATCGCGGACGTTGACAGATGCAAACTATCTGGTTGAACCTCGCATAGGAATCATGACCAGTGGTTGGAAACGTTGAGTGGCATGACTTGGAACCAGTCACAGTGGCTCGTGTGCATCCAATTTTTAATTTCTCCCAAATCCTGAACTTAAAAATTATTTCGTACTTTCTATTCCTTGAACTCATCCTTTATTTTCAAACCGTGCTCTCCATTATTTAATCATTCTCACTATAAATGGTATCGGCAAAATCTGGACATTTATTTTATTCATCTTCCTAATTCTATCTTGTTGTATTAATGTTATAATTCTCTCTTATTACAACCCAGTTAATCCTATTGTTTAGTAGTTTTGGACACCAATTCACTCGACAATTCCCCAAATCAGAGCACGGTTGAACAGGAAAGAGATTATATTCTAAATAACAAGGTTAGATGGAAGTAAGGAGCACAGTAGGGAAAGCGTTAGTATAATCATGGTTTTTACATGGAAAGATTCTAGAGTGTTCCCCAACTATCGGCTAGCGCTGATTGGATAAGAATTAGCCCATCAGAGTGCACCATCGCAATCGTGCATTGAGCATGCTTTAATTTAATCTGTCCCACAAACAACTAATGCGATATAGTAACTTGAGCTGACATATATTTGCACCAGGCTCTCAGCTGTTTATCACTAAGTTCGGACAATAAATAACGTACACAATTTAATACAAAAATGTGTCGTTTGTTTAGTCACAATGATTTTGCTTGAGAACCAAAACGAAAGCAGGTAATTTCTTTGGGATATCTCCTTTTACACTTTCAATATGAATGTTGAAATCACAAGGCAATGAAGTCAAAGTAGGAGACAGACATCTACGGTAAGGGAGAGAGAAAATTTAGGAAACTGTGAGTCATTGTTAACACTGGTTTATTGTCAAACTTATCCAACTTTTCTTAGTTGACACTTCATATCAACCAATCCGATCTAGATGCCAGAAGTTCGTCATACCACAGTAAATATAAGGATCCTTAATTGACTAAAGGATAGACAGAACTATAGGAAGTTTTAGCAACTTCCCGAATCATCGACAACTATTGTTCTCAATTTCAATTCATACTAAATAATCAAGACATTGATGAATACCATTATCAGAACCCTCAATGATTATTATTTAAAAGTGTTATTTTATTTGCTCAGGAAAAGCATCATTTTATAGTCTAACGATTTCATAAACAAATGAAATCTAACGGGGACAAATTCATTTATAACACTTCACTTCTTAAAACCATGTCTATCATGCAACCAAACAAAAGATCATACGTGGAATATGAAGCATTTAGAAAATAAACTTACCTGCTATCCACAAAGTATCATTAATAGGTTTTAAATGTTCAAGGGCCAGATTATACTGAATTTGTGCCATTTCTAAATCACCTAACTGTAAAAATATATCACCCAAATATTTCTTAAACCGCCCCGTTGCTCGTTTCTGTTTGATAAATCTAAATAAAGGAAAATCCATGCCAAATTACGGCAATAATATAACGATGTGTACTTAGTAAAAGATAAATATTATCTAACCATAGGTATAAAATGAAAATAATGATACATAGCAATCAACTGACAATAAAAAATATCACCAGAAAAAGTTTTCAATAAGAGGAAGGTATTTCAACCACTTGGTTAAATGTTATGATGCAAAATAGGGATTTATGAAATGGATTTTGAACACCAAACTGTGGTAGTAGCGCAGTTGAAGCATATAAATAAACCAGAGAAAAAAACTTATTCAGTAAGCGTTCAATAAGGAACAGCAAAAGCGAGGTTTCACATTATTTTATTTAAATGCAATTATCAAAACTTGCCGTATTTATTTCTATGAAAAGCTATTTTAAGCTTTCCCTAGGATTACACGATTTTATAAATGAGCTAATCATAAACAACTGATATCTCAAAAAGATAATCCCGGTATTACACACACTATGGGGGAATACGGTTTTTCACATCAGATAAAATAAAAAATCTGATATCTTTTAGGACGATAAAGATTACTTTGAATAAATATGTTATGATCTGTAAAAGAGTATTATAGCAACCGAATGAAAAACAGAACACCTATACTATCTATCATTAGTTTATGTGCCTAAAATTTAAACAAATTAATAGGGTTAAAAAACTACAAAGATGTATAAACGCAATATCAAATGAATATCAAAGAATGTGCTAAATCAATTTCATTTTGACCATGTGACCTTACCTATGTCAAATGTTATCGCAGTCGAATAGAAATAAAGTAAAGTACTAAGCATTGTAAATAACTTAACATAAAGCAAACAGTATGGAGTAATTGTCCAGCATTTTAAACAATTTACTATCTGCCATCGAATTGTGAATTTAAACCTCAGTCCATCTGCTTCGAGATATGTGGTCGTAGTTATATATATACGTTAACAGAGAAAGTTCTGTAAGTCATCATATAATTCTGTGGATTCGTATATGTAATACATATATGAATACACAACAGTATATACTGATTTGAAGAACTACTTTTTCTTCACAAACGAATACGGAGATAGAACTCAACTACGAAGCGATAAATACAAAGAAAATGTCGTAATTAGAAGCATGCTGAATATATTGATTTATTAAGTACAAAAACTTGATAAGCAATAATCAGATAAATAAAATTATAATGGTTATATGTACATGCAATACACATCAGTCGATATAAGCTATCTGCATGACAAGCAGAAAAGGTATAAATTAACGAAAATATTGGAAACCACTCAATAATATTTAACAACAAAACATCCGTATTAATAATAAACTAATTATACGAGAATAATTAAATGATACATATTCCTACCATATGTAACGTGTTTAGAAAGAAGCGCTAAAATCTTTTTGTCTAATTAATGGCAGTCAGTGATAAGAAACTTCGAATATTTTGACATTAATAGCAATAATAAATCCAAATTTAACTCTATTTGAATATTTCTAGAGTTCGGCCAACGACAAACACCATGACAAGACTAGTTACTACTACTAACTACACCACTACTCAATGATCGATCGGCGTTATTCTACATTTAGTAATTATTTAGTTAAAGGTTCAATATTTTTCAACCATCCAGTAATCAGTGTTTCAAGAAAATACCTCGCTAATCATACCACATTATTACTAAGACTGGAACACACGAAAGAATCGCAGTAAAAAATAGTGGAAGGTGATTTGTGAGGAATTAAACGATAAAATGAACAAAATAACTTAATTTTTATGAGAAATGAAGGTGAAAACAGAAAATTCAAGTGGAAATAAAGTACGCATTTGATTTATATCATAAGTACTGACTACTTGGAATATGTGCATAATGCTCAAAGGAAAGTATGAAAAAAGTCAAACAATACAACTGGAGAAAAACTATTACAGTAATATGACAAGGGAAAGGATATAATTTAGGATTTAAACCAGGAAACTTCAGGGAGGTAAAATTACCTTCCGTAATTCGGAACGGAACACGATGAAAGCATCCATGATGTCCTATGAGAAATAATTTGGTTTTCATGAACACGTACTACTCCTAAACATCAAGTGAACTTGGTATTGATAAAGTAGGTAATGATAAAAGCATATTTTAAAACCGAACAGTCAAGAGGTTAAATTTAAGGATTTAGAAAAACAACTCATTGAATCACTGGTTGAGAGTATATAAGACATTCATTAAGACCTAAAACTTCAAGGTTTAAGTCAGTCAGTCAGTCATCTACGAAGCAGAACCAGAAATATATGCATCGCTCCAAGTTAATACACCTCATTAGCACAACAAGATGAACACCGAATTCATAGAAGTAGTCACTTCAATGATAGTAATCAATAAAAGAGATTATGTATAAACATATAGTACAAGAAGAAAACATTAGATCGTAGAAAGAGAGATATAAAGCAATTTTAATATCACGGTTTAAGGGAAGAGAAAGAGTGTATACACCTATACCATTGTGATCGATTCTGAGCCATGTCACCCACAGTATCCAACCACTAGTTACAATAGTCACACAGACTAAAACAAAGTAATCTGCATCTACCAACATGGTTCAAACTAGAAATTTGTGACTCCAAGAACTGATGACACGTTTCGGCTTAGCCACCCCTAACTTTCTTCCAACAGTCTCCAACACTTGTCAGCATTGCAACTCGTGGTAAACGGCGTTTAAAAATATGTCGGACGTGGCCCAACCAACTCAGTCGATGAAGATTCACCAACTCATCAATTGATTTACCATCATTCCCTAATACTCTGAGTCTAACCTCATTACTACTCACTATTACCCGATGATCCCAGCAGTGCTGGAAATCTTTCTGAAACATATGGAATCAAATACTAGTAACTTGCAAGTACCCTCTCTCTATCCCTACTGGCCACGTCTCGCAGCCACAAAATAAAACACAACCAACTGCTGCGTTGTATACTCGACCCTTAATTGATAGACGGATATCTCGCCTTCGCCATAGGTGACGTAAGTTGGCATAAGCCAAACGACCACTTCGAATCCGTGATCACATTTCGTCTGACACCAACCCATTAGGGCTGATCAGATTTCCGAGATAAGTAAAGTTGTCAGCGTGTTCGACTACTTCACTCCCTATCCACAGTTCAGGTGTTGACCCAGGTCAGCCCTGAAGCAAAAACTTGCATTTAGAGGGGGAGAAACGCATCCCAAACATCCTGACATTGTTGCTCAGTGCTACCAAAATACTCTGCATTTTATCAGCGTCTTCACTAAACAGGACTATGCCATTTGTGTATTCTAAGTCAATAAGTGGCCCTCCTCGTAGGAGGTCAATCCCCGAAAATTCAGTCAACGAGAACGTTGTTTCCATTAGTATGTCCATAGTGAAATTGAACAAAAATGGAGCAATTGGACAGCCTTGACGGACGCCACATGAGGTTGCAAAAGCAGATGACAGTTCGCCATAAGCTCCGACTCGACTAGTAGTGTTCGAGTAAAGAGCCTTCACAAGGTTTATGTACTTCTGAGGAACGCCTTTCAATCACAGACATTGCTGCAGAACCTCTCGGTCTACAGAGTCAAATGCTGCTTTTAAACCAAGAAAAACTATCATTTTCGGACGCTGATAAGCTGTCTATGTTCTAGAACCTGACGAATGGTGAATATGTGGTTGATGCAGCCACGACCAGGTCTGAAGTCAGCCTGATTTCCTCGTGTTTGCAGTTTACGAGTCTTAGGCGTCTGATAATTATCGAGGCTAGTATTTTAGATTTTATATTAGTTAAACTAATCCCTCTATGGTTGTCACATGATGATTTTAACCCTCTCCTATGTATTGGGACGATAAGTGATTGTGACCAGTCAGATGGAATAACGTATAACTCCCAGATCTTAGCTAAAATATTAGTCAACTTAATCGCTAAAATTGGACCACCATCCTTAAAGACCTCTGGAGCCAATCCATCTGGACCAGCTGCTCTTCCTCGTTTCAGATTAACTATAGCCTTTTGGACTTCAGCAAGAGTAGGGGGACCTATTTCAATGTTCCATTCACACTGTCTGGGAATGGAGGGTAGTTGTAGAGTAGCTGAAGGCCAGCTGAACTGTTCTCTAAAATGTTCCGCCCATCGTTCTAAACGTCTGGACTGAGAGCAGATGAGGGTGTCGTCTTTTTCCGAAATAATCTCACTTACACTTGACTTACTAATTCCAGTTTCTTTTATTAGTCTGTAAAGCTGTCTTGTGTTCCCTATAGTCGCGGCCTTTTCCATCTCTTTTGCTTTCGTTACCCACCACTGCTCACGGTCGTCCCTTAGACTTTTGGTTAACCTAGATCTGTTTTCGCTCTTCATGGTGTTCAGAGCCTAATGGGATGAGTTTACGAGAATCCATCAGTGCAACAGACCTTGAGGAAATCCATTGGTTCTTTGTAACGCTGTGGTTTAAATCACTGATAGATAACACGGCTGTTTCCACAGCTGCTTGTATATCTTTCCAAGCAACATCTGGGCCAGCATCGTTTTCAGAACTACCTAAGTGTGACCTCAGTTGTTCCTGGAACCTACTTTTGGTTTTCTCGTAACTCAATTCAGTTCTAATGGGGCTTTTCTGCGTCCAGTGAGGCGCAAGCAGATGCGTGCCCGAATTAGGGCATGGTCGGAGTTCAAACAGGTACTCCAGAATGAGCGACAATCTTCTACCGACCTTCACCAACGATGACTGATGCCAATATGGTTTACTTGAGTCCATCGTTTGTTTGATGTATGAGGCCGTCATGTTAGACGATGTCTCTCCTTATGCTTAAAATTTGTGTTTGCTAAAAATAAACGATTGTCTGAGCATAGCTGCAGCAGACGATCACCATTATCTGTTCGCTGTGTCGGAATACTAAAATATCCACCTAAATGCCTTTCTGTTTGGTTTAAACTGCCTATCTGAGCATTAAAATCACCTGCTACGAGTACTATGTCTGAGCGTTTAGCTTTCTGAAGAAGTTCGGACAGCTTTCTGTAAAATTCATCTTTCACATCATCTGAGCTGCAGTCAGTGGGAGCGTAGGCAGAAACGACAAAAAGGCAACGACGTGTGTCCCTATCCTTCCGAGTTCTTACGTAGCCGTTCAGCCGAACAGCACATAGACGACTGTTGACGGGGATCCACTCTAGCAGTGCTTGTTCGGCCCTCATGCTTAGTGCTATGCCTACACCTGCCAGTCCACGAGAACTTGCCATCGGGTCACCAGATACACGAAGGGTGTACCTCGTTGGCTCTCCGTTTTGCCGAGGTGAGGTCAAGTGAATGACCACACTGGGATCCTGTATGAGTGTTTCAGAGACACAGCATACATCAATCGTACGAGATTCTAGGGTTCTAACCAAGGAAGCCTGCTGACCAATTTGACATAGGGTTCGTACGTTGAAGGCTCCAATGTGTAGTTTGGAGCGAGGTTTCAGTAAACCTGGGACAGTGTTTTGAGCACTAGAATCGTTGGCTATGGTGACACTTGAGGAGGAAGCCGAAAGAGGAAATTTAGAGTTGAAAGTCGATGTAGGAGGAATAATAGGAATTGAAGAGGGAGGTTGATTATGAATACAGTGGTCTTGAGTGCTGTTAGAGGTATGAGGGCGGTTATCACTTCCCGGTCGGAAGGGTTCTTCTGGAGGTACCCGAAAAGAAAATTGGATTAGAGGTGGTCATAGTGACCTGAGAGCGTGACCACAGTGCCCAAGGGACAACTGCTTGAGGTCGGTCACACACGACCTTGTTATGGGTAATTTTTGTGTTAGCTCAGTACTTGTTGAGACCTTACCGCCGGAAACGGATATCCGTGGGGTAAGGCGAGGTATGCATTTTTAGAGTCGACCTTTTCTAACTCCACCCCTCCTTGTAGGAAGGCAGCATCGCTGTCATGCTGGTTGTATGAAGGAAACACCTTACTACTGTCACACCTCTGTACAGTCAGCAGTACAACTTCGCCTTCGGACCTTGGGTTTGTTGATTTAGTCTTACCGCTCTTCAACCGACCTGTCTGACATGGTAGGACCTTGAGGAAAGGTTGTTCCAGCCAGTATAGCTCGGTTGCTTCATCACGATAGGCAAGCCCGACCACTACTTCAAGGTAGCAACAACAGTCTGCTTTAAGCACTCTGTTTTTAACAAAAACGTCTTATATTTGAAAGCCGCTTCACCAACTTGGATTTAAGCGTCTGAGGGTTATCGCTAGAGCCTTGATACAATGTCTAAAACGCTCGATCAGAACCTGACACAGATGCATATTATTCTAGGTCGGACGATCCTGCATCATCATCCACAAAAACCTCAGGAACTAACCAACCAGGGCTTGTTGCTTGCTCTCACTTTAATTGGAGGATTAATGTCGATCTTCCATTCAGGCTACTGCTAGGTATTGAACAACTGATGGGTATTTAGTCGCCAAATAAACTTTTTTATTATATTGTTTCCCAGTATTCTATAAAAATTTTAAAGGGATGTATGGGATAGGAAGCCTACTGTTACAAATTATACTCCTTTCGTGTACTTAAAACCCGTTCATTTTTATTGTGCAATAATACAGTGAAAAGAAGATTTACTCACATGATTTGGTAACAATTAGTTTAATTTCAATAAACTGTACATAATAAGTCAAAACCTTTTAAGCCAAAAAACTAAAAATATACCCATATCACATTATGGACAACTTAGCTATAAGCGATCTAAAACTCACTAATCAAGTACATGTTCAGGAACTCGACTTGAAATGATCATTTATTTGACGGTTAGTAGCACTACGCAACTATCCAAACTCAAGCAGATGGGATGACCTCTGAACTTGTGATCCAATTGTTGAAAAACGAGTGCTCTAACCATTAAGCCGCAAACAATGATAATAACACGATAAACTCAACATAAAAAAATTTCTAGTAACATCGGGAATCCAACTTTTATATGACAATTTGTAAAATATTACTTATTCATCATCTTAGTCACAGTGGAAACAATGTCAGCTTCGAAAAATTTAGATGACAATTCCGCAAGACATGCAATCAAATCTGACAAACTTAGGATACTACCAGGACAGAGCAAAAGCAAACGTTGATCAAAAGAATAACAGTAGGACAACATAAAAATGCTTCATTACGAACTTTCGTAACAATACATCAACGAAAAAAGCAATCCGAATCTATCATTCTTTGTGGGCAACCACTAATACATGACATATATACTGTACACTGAGCTTATACTGAATTATGCAGACTTACTTTGACAGTCTAATTAGACCTTAAAAGTATTCATAAAGGAATTATTTAAAATGAAAATCTTGTCTATATCTACATTCTACCACATTCTTTAGTAATCAAAATGGTCACCTGAAAGATATACAAAACTTTATTCTGCTATAATCAGCACCATCTGTTAGAATAATTAAGATTAATACGAAAACAGAGAATTCCTAGAGTATTATTTACTTTTTTAATAAGTAATAAATCTTTCTGCACATGCAGTATCTCAACAGGATTATGATTGCCTTGGGTGTTATTATGGCTAGCAAATTCAAGTATGTTGTTTTTTGTTAACACATTTTGAGTGTAGATGAGTTCAGAAACAGTCAACACTTACTAGACACAAGCCAAATTTGGATATACAACTAATTTAAACATGAAAAATGTTGCACCAATGCAGTAGGTTGGTGACCAATTAATTGATGAAACAGAAGCTATGGATTACTCTACATTCTGGCCTTTTTACCCATCCGTAAGTCAAAAGCAAGTTCAAAACACATGCAAATTTTGTTTCCGAACACATTAGTCATCTGCTACACAGGCTCCAACTTTATAAAAATATTGCAGCTCCAGACAATCAACTAGTTTCTAACTACGTTGTGAACATGAATTATCTTGATTCAGAGTAGGTTAGTTATGTGTTAAAATGGACACTAACTATGTATATTGTAGAAAATTAACCGGTTTTTCGGAAATATTTCTGTACGGATGACATGCACAAGATGTTTAGGGTTATTTTGCTTAAGTTAAATTAAGCACGAAAAACCTAGAGTTTAGTGAGATTCCGTACGATCACAAAAGAGAAACGTAGTTATTTGCAATCTACTTATTATACTATTTAAACATTTACTAAAAATTCAAACCAAACAAAAACATCACAAATTATAGTTATTTAGACTTTCTGAAGAGTTCATTAATACTAAAAATAGGATATATATATATATATGAAGAGAATATTTTTTTAATCAAAGCACCAGTAAACCAAGGTTATTAATGATTAGAAAACAAGTTTTTCGAATTGATTATTGTTATTACTATGAAAATAAACTATTTTAAAAACTTACCCGAACCACTCAAAACTGGAATTGAGAATTTAAAGAAATCACTAGTAAATGCTTCTTAAAATCGTTCACACAAACTAATAAGTTTCTATACCAAATATTGTACCTCTAGGTGATTTTCTAACATGACTTTCTGCCTTTCAAAATGTAATCATGTCAAACACTGGAATCCCCATTCGCTTTTCGTTCTCTCAATTTCGTAAACAACACCCGCGCCGCGAGAAGGCAGTGAGTAGGAATTCCCTGGCAATGACTATATATGGGTGGTCATGTGAGAGCATTTCGAGAGGGAGGGCTGACTCTCCCCACCAGGGCATTTGGGGGAGAGCAAATGTCCGGCGCCTTTACCGGGTTGGCGGATATGAAGGATCCACCTGGGGAAGTTGGGAAACCCTGATTCCAAACCAATGGTGAACATGGGATCTAGGATCCTGAAGGAAAAAATGGCGTATGTATCAATTATTGGTCACCGGCTACCATGGGATTGTATCTCCTGAAGTTTCTCCACCACCTTGTGGATCAGGCCTTTAGGTCTAAGGGTCCGGGTGTGACCCCTAAGAAAACCTCCAGCTTCGATCTGGGCAACCGGGCAGTATCACAGCCGACACACAAATCAAGTGACTTATGTGGCATATATGTATTCGGTGCCCCTTTGTACCAGTATTTATGTGCTCAAATACATAAATAATAAATTGATCTCCACTATCAGTTGTGGAAAAGAAACACAAACTTAATGCCTTAAGATTCTGATTAAACGAAATCATATGTACAACTGAAAAGTCTTTAACATTTAAATAAAAAGAATAAGATATCACAGTTAAATTTTCAAGCAAGATTTAACGTCGACAAGTCAGTGAAGACATGGATTTTAAAGTTAATTATCTCCTATTGGATCAGAGGTACTGCTTATTTACTTGCTACCTGAATCCATTGGTGGGATGAAAGGTATCTACTTTCATTAACTTGAAGTGTAGATGGCGACGATTAGATGCTCATGAGGTTCTATATTTTATTTCGAATGTATCATAACGAAGTTACATAATAACATTAGTGAGGTGAAGCATGAGTCAGTGATGTGAATATTCAAATGAGATAGGTTGTCAATCTATAGATTTGTTGGGGTGTGAATAAAGGATAATTTTGTATTCAGATAGGCAAACTTGGAATTTAAAAGAACAGTTAACTATACTATAATTATGTTGAATGTTACTAAAAATATGAATGATATGCATCACAACCTTATTCGTATATAAGAAAGGAATATCCACAAATAAAAAGCGACAACTTCATCAAGTGTTTTAAAAAAGAAATAACTAACCTTATATCTGTTTGAGCACTGATAGAACTTGTTGATCCTGATCTATCTGTAAAGGTAGACAAAGCAGATAATGCATTAGTACGCCCTAGCGCTTTACGTCTGACTTCATCAAGAATATTCCACTTCGATTCATTTTCTTCTGGAGCCATTAATAGATCGTCTGACGAGTCTGTTAGTTCTTTAGATAGCTGTGACTCTTTTTTCTTCAATTTAATATCACTCGGACACTTAGCGGCGAGCATCTTCTTCAAACTCCAATAAATTTCAGAAGTTAGTGCTTGAAGGACTGAACTAATTCGATGATTAACAAACGGTGGTCTAATTGAAACATGTGATTTGTCAACTAAAGAACACTCATCCGTCCCAGCAGAGTAACCAAAATCTTTAAGAATATTCATTTCTGATGCGAATAAATGCTCGGAAGGATGACAAATAATTTCACCTAGCAATGCTGAATCCTGTGACGAAAATAAGAGTTATATACGTCTACATAATTTCAGGTAAAATTATTTATTGTTCACACAATAAAAATTCCCGAAATGTAAAAAAAATAATGATAAAAATTCCGAATAAATACCATGCAATCAAGAGCTTAAGGGATATAAAGATAGTTGAATAACGAAAAGTGATCAAAGAAATCTGAAAAAACATTCAGAAATATATATGGTGGGAGTGACAACTTATACCCAGTAAATAACATATTTCTGTTCCTATTTACTGGGTTCAAGTCTCAGTGATAAAATCAACAATCACTGTGACGCAAGTACATTCAGCTGACAAGTTCATAAAAATATAAAGCAGTCTACCAAGCCTGGACTAAATATAATCTAAATAGTTTGTCATCTATTATGCTATTAGAGTGTGTATGCCTGGTCGTCTAAGATACAGAATGACTTACGTTTCTTTTTCTACTCTATGGCACCCAGATGTGAAAAATTCGTATACTGACCATTTCATGTCGATTTTCTATACATAGATCTTTGTAGGTAATCATCTAGCCTTTTCAGCAGGGTCTTAAATAATGGAATTTCGCGTTCGCCTCCCCTTGGCATGTCCTTTATACTTGATATTCACAAAAAAGTTTTTCATTTGAACTGTCAGTGATCTTCCAGTTCTGAAAAGGTTTTAATGAACTAGAAACAACTTTCAAGTATTTGCTGTCATTCAGTAGTCCGAAAACTATTGCTTGTCAGCGATAAAACAGTCAATTACTGGATCTTGTAAAAAAAAGCATCCTTAAGTGTAATGTAATGTAATGTTGAGAAATAAGTTCGACTAAATAAAATGAATTCACTGTTCACTAATTATTTGAAGTCATTTTGATTAAAATCTACACAGATGGAAACCGTCTTACATCAAAGATAGATTCTTAAAAATCACATTGTTCATATTCAGATGTTTACAAGCTGCACTTCATGTTTATTATTTGAAATAATTTGACAAGTTCTCGGTTGTTCTATCAAATAATCAACTAGTTACAAGCAACTCTTAATCAAAAATGGCTTTTATATGAATAGAGAACCCAGTATGTCAACAGTACCAGGAAGAGCCAATGCGTCACATTTCGACGCCATACAAAAACAAATACTGGGAAAATCAAGTTACCTCTTTCAACATTTCAGATACAAAAGCATTTGCTTCTTCAACTGATAGTGAGTCGTTTTGAATGCCCAATGGTTTTAAAAACAGGAAAAGTTGACTACTGATAAGCGTAGCCGACAACAATTTCTAGCAAAAAAACAAAAACATCTAATGGGGAAGAGGACAAGAAATAGGAAAATCATGTGACTAATTAACACAATAACGATAAGCATACATAAAGTGGTCGAAGAAACGAGAATGACAGAATAAAAGTACAAACTAATTTTAGAACTCAGGACCTAATGGGAGATAAAGAGCAAATACATATGACCTATGTCACCCAACGTCTCCAACTACTAGTGATTGAAGTGATCTCACAGACACCAATCACACAGTCGCCACCCACCAACATGGTTCGGATGAACAGCCAAAGACTTTATGGACTGATACCACTTTTCAGTTTAACTGGTCCTAGTTTACTTTCAACCTGTCCTTACACCAGCCAACACGACAAATCGAGGTAGGCTCTGGTTGGTGGGTCACAAATTATTAGTAGAGCTGAGGTAGTAACTAACTTGATACAGTGTAGAGCAATAGGTCCAGGTGTGTTAACTATACAAATCTTTAAGGGAGGTAGTTCAGGATATATAATGATACTGCTTTGGGAAGCCGAGAGTACTTAACTCAGCATATCAGGCATATTTTACGGTCGTAATGATTTTTTAAACCGTGCTAATGTGACGAGTAACTGAGTATTCAAAGACAATTGGTACTTAGTAAAAGTAATTGACATTTAAATCTCAATTAATATAAATAAATGTCACGAAGGTCCAAACCAAAGCAAAACATTAGCCAACTAAGATCTGACTACTTTAGCCGGATCACAAAGGGCAAACTAACTCCCTAAAACTCATGAGGAAATCGTAATCTATGGATGGTGACAGATAAAATGACCAAAAACCAATCACACTGGGGTGGGTGTGACTAGTATTTATCTTTCTATAAATCTTGAACTGTTAGCGGGACATAGATTGGATAAAAGCATGTTCCATGCAAATTGCGTTGGTGCACGCTGATTGGCTAATTCTTATCCAATCAGCGCTAATCGACACTTGGTGAAAACTAAAATCTTCCCATGTAAAAAAATATAAATATATTAACGTTTTCCTTATTGTGTTTCTTACTTCCATCTACCCTTGTTCAGTCAGTAAAGTAGAACTTCGCACGTACGTACGTCAGCTCCAGTTGTCATACCATATTAGCACAGAGATGCAGTTGTCTACTCAAATTCCGTAGTGGTAGAGGTGGTAAGAGTATAAGCAGTAATCGGAAAGATCAGGGTTGGAAGACGTTATTCAAGGAGTATAATACAGTGAAATAAATTTGGAAAGAAAATAAGGGACATGAAGAATTCAGATTAGAATTTGGGAGAGCACAAAGAGTGGATGCACTTGCGCCATTGCAAAGGATTTTGAGCCATGTCACTCGGGGTCTCTAACCATCGGTTGCTATCATCCCGAGGTCCCCAACCAGGTAGTCTACACCTATCAACATGGCTCAGTCCACTTGTCAGTGACTTTATGGACTTGTGCCATTTTTCGGTCTGGCCGCCCCTAGCTTTTTTCCAACCTACTCCTACACAGTAAAACATAGCGCGTCGAGGCACACGAGATCAAGTTGGTCACACTCAAATCTCTTGTTACTTGGAATATAATTTCTTTACTATTCAACCGTGTTCTGATTTAGGGACTTATCGTGTGAATTGATGCAGTAGGAGGAAATTATAACGTGAACACTAGTATTTCACACTTTCAAGTTTCTGATTTTAGTTAATTCATTCGAACTATGTATCTGATGTCTGGTTTTCCACTACCACTTGTATTGTTTTCACTGTTTGCTTTTTCTCAGACCTAGTTGAGCGTATTACTTACTCGTAGAATAGTTAACTTTTTTGGAACATAAATCTACAATCTTTGATGTAACGGTTTCTTTTATGTACATCTTCCTGGTAACCTATAATGCCAGATTTTATTACGAGGAAAAGTCAAAATAAAGTGGAATAACCATATCAGAGAACCCTAATTGAGTGAACATAAAAAATAAACCAGCATATTTAATAAAACTAACCTTTTGCTTGATGTAATCTTTGACCCGTAGTTCTATGTCAGAATGACTTGAACACCAGGCAAAAGCAAGCAGTCCAACAGTAGCCCGATAAGGTTGGAAACAGCTCCATGCATTATTGATTGGGTTATATTCCTTTAAGAACCTTAACCAGATTGGTTGACGAGTATTAAAACTTGATATCCCAATATCACTGTGTACTTCAGAGGTCTCCGAAAGAGAATCGCGTTTATCCGTGCTCAACATATGTTCACTTTTCGAACCTGTGAGAACGCGAATTAGTGTTGTAGAATCCAAGCAAGTTTAAGGAAAGATATTTGCCTTTGCCATGTATACTGCTCGCTTTATATTTAAGTTACTTGTTTCTCATATCTAGACACTTTTCTCTCATTGAAAATCGTACAGAAATTTCAGCAAGCAAACATAGGAGCTAATCACCAGTGTTCTGCATATTATGCAAGGAGAAACTATAAGTGTCACCTGCCATCAGCATCGGACAAAGATATTTTAGTAGCCCTAATTTGATTCCTATAGAGATCAACTATCAGATGGTTTTAAAACAATACGCAGACCCCATATCGGAAATGATTGGAAACCAAAAATATATCTTATATCACGGCGATACACGTATATTACCCGAAATTTTATCTCCTTTTTCTGTACTTAGTTTTTTAACTACTACTGTTACTACTTCTACTACACCAGGGTATATTTGGAGTTTTATCTCTTTATGTTAATGTGGTATGATTACTTGAATTGAAGAATCGGTGCCAAGTTTTACCTTGCACCAAAATGATATGTATATTCCAACCCCAACATTGCTACATACTTCGTCTAAGCAAATCTAACACAACTCCGATGATAAACTCAATTGCCCAGTAAAATATAGCCTATTTTCCCTACAAGACTTAATCTTTCTCCAGCCTTTGAATCAGCAGTGCGATGTTTTGTTTAACATCAAATATATATAAGGGATGAAATGCAGATGAATTTTTAGAATAACGGTCCTAGTCCAAACATCTTAGTCAAGTACATGAGACTGTGACTACCTCTTCACTATACTGACAGCACAATTCACGTCATACAAATTTAGAGGCAGAGTTTTTGTGCATTTAATGCAGAGCAAGTTAAAAGTCTAGGACAATGAAATCCGATTTTGCCATTTAAGACGAAAAACTAAGTTAATATTAGATGAGAACTAGTGAGTTCCCATGATAAGTAATCCTTATATGCCATCCTGTTTATAAGCGCTTACTAACAATAGCTATGGTTGAAACCACATAGATTGTTTTTAGTCAGAAATGTAGTCGGTAGTACAAAGTTGTGCTACACTGCACTTGCTTAAATTGAGACCCCACCAAACATACAGCTTTATACTTTTTGCGTGTTTTCCCAGAACTAATGTTACGTGGTGTGTGTCAAGTATTATACATCATTTGGTCTGCATCAAATATGCCACAAATATTTTGAGTTATTGCATCCCTCCATATAAAGCAACTGGAACATAATTCGCCTGTTCTCAGAAAAACTAAACATTAAACCTTAGGTTCTGTAGTTTTTATCGACCGATAAATTTTATTGGTACTGATGGAAAGCCAATTTATGCAACACAATTGTGTTCCCTTAAGGCCTGTCAAAATAATCAACTATAGTTGACGTATATTATAGTTTACGTCGAGATACCCTTATGGCATTTAGATGATTACAGCGACAAATGCTCAGTAAACTCACCATTACTTCGTACAAAGGTAAATGAGTAGTGAGTCACTAGCGAACAAAAAACGCTATCAAAAGTTCCCTCGTCACTCCCAGAGCCTAAGCACGCCAGACACACAGTGATTCTCCTGTGATCTATGAATGTTGCTTCATAATCAATCGCAAACATTCCCGAAAACCGTTTTCTAGGCTTCGTTTGCGGATCCAGGTTTCCTGAGGCACACAATTGTGTCGAGATTATCTGATTTGTCCGCCGTTACAATTATAGTCCAAAATGGTTCAAATGGTTCTAGATAGAGTAGAAGCAGTGGGTCGCCGGTGCCTTCAAGTAGAAACCTAGGTATGTTTAACGAAAAAAGAGGAAAAATACTAGTGTAGCGGTAAATAAATCCCCAAAATAAATAGCACTAAGTTTTCGACATTGGATGCTGACCATATGTTTTATTGGACTCACCTAGCTGAAGGCGCTCGGTCAGGCATCCGCACCAGATCACGTGTGGTAACGCCGTGCTCAACATCAACCGCAATCGCTAGCCAGATTAGATCAGAGAATTCCGATATATTGGTCATCGCCAAATATACTCTTCCGATCTCCTCGACTCTGTCTTTTGATTTCTCTGGGCGGGAACGAAATATATTAGGTGTTACTGGTAGAAGCGTTGTCAAACACTGAATACCTGTGACATCATCATTGGTGAAACTGACGTGATCTGATACACCTAATTGCAACTGTGAGTCTGTTCCTTTTTGGGATTTTTATATATCATTGCCTTATTTTTTATTTTTTTAAACATTGTGATTTTTTTCGTGTTTTTTTCCTGGATATATATATTTTCCCCTTGTTCATTATCGCACTTCATACTTCATCATGACTGAACAGACACCTAAAGTACTCAAGCTGAAGACTTTGTCCCCGCCTTCGTTTCAACTGATGCCTTTCTGGCCCAACAACATCGAAGCCTGGTTTTGCTACGCAGAAGCCGACTTTTCCGAGCACGGCGTGATCGACACACGTGCACAATTCCTCGCAGTAGCCAAGGCACTACCGCGCGAATTCAACAGGTACGTAACACCTGGTATGTTTACTAGTGATGTTTCCGATCCTTAAGAAATCTTAAAACGCTCGATTCTTAAACGAGGAGACCTAACCGACCGACAAAGGTTAGATCAACTCTTCAACAATATCGACCTGCAACACGGTACTGCGACGGACATGTTGCAACGGATGAGAGAGGTAATAGGCCCAAGAACTTTCGACGAAGGTCTATTCAAACAACTCTTCTTGTCAAAACTTCCCCAACAGGTGCAAGCAGTTCTGGTCTCGTTCCAGAACAACGCCTTAGACGAGCTAGCTGCATCTGCCGACGGCATTTTAGAAATTACGAAATCTACTACCGAGGTATTTTCAGTCAAAGAAAAACCTCAAACGACTGAGAATGATATAAACGACTTATGTCACACACTCACGCGTTATCTTAGTCTTCGTACAGACCGTAAGAGATCGCGCACATCACGTAGAAGCATTTCTCGTAAGCGATCTGTCTCTAGACCACGAGAGACAGATAACCCCGACTGGTGCTGGTATCATAACCAGTATGGAAAGCTTTCCAGAAATTGCAGAAAACCCTGCAATTTTCCCAACACGAAACCGACTGATTCGAAAAGCAATTCGGGAAACTTCCAAGCCGGCACGCGTTAACGGCAACCGTAGCCGGCGAACAAAGCCGTCTGTTATTCGTCACAGATGTGACAACGAGAGTTCGCTACCTAATCGACACTGGCGCAGAAGTTAGCGTTCTCCCAGCAAATCCTAATGACCGACTACACGAATCGACCCTAAACTTAAAGGCGGCAAACGGAAAACCGATCGCTACGTATGGCAAAAGGTACGTTTACCTTAACGTGGGTTTACGCAAACCCATTCACTGGATTTTCGTTGTTGCAGATGTTTCTATGCCAATCATTGGTATGGATCTTCTACAACACCAAAATCTGATCATCGACACGCGCAAACGGAGGCTAGTAGACGGGAACACTAATTTGTCCGTTTGCGTAACTTCTTTTACTGGTTGTAGAGTATCCCCAGTCACAGTTAAACATATGATAGACCCACTCTATCAACCACTACTCGATAAGTACCCTGATATACAACAAACTCAAACGAAACTACCGTGTGTAACCAGCAATGTTACACATCACATCACGACTACAGGACCACCTGTATTTTCTAAAGCACGCCGACTAGCTCCTGAAAAGCTAAGGTTAGCGAAAAACGAATTCGATCACATGATGGACTTAGGAATCATACGACCGTCAAGTAGCCCATATGCATCTCCGTTGCACATGGTCCCTAAAAAGGACAGCAACGATTGGCGTCCAACTGGTGACTATCGGCGATTGAACGCGAAAACCATTCCCGATCGTTACCCGTTGCCTCTCATTCACGATTTGACAGCTACCTTGAAAGGTACAACTGTCTTTTCGAAAATCAACTTGGTTAAAGCGTATAACCAAATCCCTAAGGCTACTGACGACATACCGAAAACAGCAATCATAACTCCCTTCGGACTCTATGAATTTTTGCGAATGCCTTTCGGTCTAAGGAATGCTGCTCAATTATTCCAAAGATTCATAGACGACGTTTTTCGAGGTCTCAATTTCGTACATGCGTATCTTGACGACTGTCTAATCGCAGGTCCGGATCTTGTTTTCGAACGACTTCAAAAACATGGCATAACTGTAAACGTTCAGAAATGCCAATTCGGAACCGACTCGTTAGACTTCCAAGGACACACCATCGATGCTCAAGGCATTCGACCTCTTAGCACCAAAGTGGCGACCATTCTGGATTACCCAGAACCGACCACCGTCAAGCAATTGCGCACGTTTAACGGCCTGGTAAGTTTCTATAGACGTTTCATACCCAAATGCGCATTACTTATGAAACCTCTGACCGACCAACTTCGTGGAAATGCGAAATCCATCAATCTGGACGACACCACGCGAAGATCATTCTCCACAACTAAGGAACTTATCGCTAGAGCAACAATGCTTGCTCATCAGGACACTGAAACACCCATTTGTATGGCAGTAGACGCATCCGACTCAGCGATCGGAGGAGTCCTACAACAATGGATCAACAACTCCTGGCAACCCTTGGCATTTTTTCTCTAGAAGGTTGCTAGACACCGAATCGAGGTACAGCACATTCGGTAGGGAACTCCTAGCTATGTATTGTGCTGTACGGCATTTTCAACACTACATCGAAGGCCGTGAATTCACCCTTCTCACTGACCATAAACCGCTTACCTTGTCCTTAAGCTCTTCCTCTGACAAGTGCTCACCTCGTGAGTCTCGACAACTGGACTACATTTCGCAGTTTACTTCAGACATTCAACACATCTCTGGAGCAAACAATGTAGTTGCAGACGCCTTATTTCGCATAACTTCCTTGAACAGTTTCCAAGGAATCGACCTTCTTAAACTCGCCGAGATTCAAAAAGAAGACACTGATCTTCAGCACGAGTTATCGTCTACAACCCTCAGACTACTCATCAAACAGATGGGAACAGGTAAGGAAACCTTACTTTGTGACACATCTACAGGTAGGGATCGCCCAATCGTGCCGAAACGTTATCAACGCAACGTCTTTAATATGTTGTACAAACGTTCTCATCCAGGTGTTCGTGCAACCATCAAGCTTATAGCAGAAAGGTTTTGCTGGCCTGGAATGAATAAAGACGTGAGGGAGTGGGCACGCTCCTGTGTAAGCTGCCAAAAATCTAAGGTTATCAGACACAATAAATGTCCCTTAGGCCCATTTAAAGCTCCCGATGGTCGTTTCGATCATGTTCATCTGGATTTGGTAGGACCTTTACCAGATTCAAATGGATACTCTTATCTCTTAACCTGCGTAGACCGTTTCACTTGATGGCCAGAAGCAATACCTATCAAGGACATCACTGTTGAAACAGTGGCTCGCGCCTTCGTCGAACGATGGGTAGCAAACTTCGGCTGCCCTTCAACCATCACTACAGACCGCGGACGTCAGTTTGAATCCGATCTTTTCCGTCGTCTGACCACACTTTTAGGAATCACTCGCTTCCGAACGACTGCCTACCACTCACAAGCAAACGGGTTGGTAGAACGCTTTCACCGACAACTAAAACCTTCACTATCAGCTGCAAACGTTTCACAGTGAACTGACACTCTTCCACTCGTCTTACTAGGTATCCGCAATGCAGTGAAAGCTGACATTGGATACACTGCGTCTCAAATCGTTTATGGAACGACACTTCGACTTCCAGGAGAATTCGTGGATCCTACATCCTCTTCAATGAACATGGATCTAACCTCCTACACGAACAGGCTTACAAACGCAATGCGTTCAGTTAAACCTGCTTTCACTCGACCTCAATCAACTGATGTTTTCGTTCAACCTGACTTACGATATAGTACACACGTTTTCGTTCGTCGAGACTCGCATCGACGACCATTCGAATCAGCATACGAAGGACCCTTCAAAGTTCTTCAACGTGAATCTAAGTACTATATAGTCGATAAGAACGGAACCAACGATAGCATCAGTATCGATCGCTTAAAAGCAGCGTATTTAGAAGGAAATCCTATCTACGTAGATTTTCCTTCGGTACAATCTAACGACACGACTTCGACACTTATAATACCTCATCCGACAACCAACACACACGATGATACTTCGACAGTATCCGAAAAAAAACTTAAAACGACGCGTTCTGGAAGAAGGGTGAGATTTCCAGAACATTTAAACGACTATTGCACGTACGGTACTTCTTGACATTTTATATTATTTTTTTTAAAAAAACAATTTTAATATGCTTATATATTTTTATTTCTATTTAAAAAAAAAAAAAGCAATTTTTTAACGCTATTACGTGTTCATGAGTTTATTTTCCATTTTTTTACGCCGACATTGTGTTTTTACGCACATACGAGTGTATTTTCGACATGCACTGACATTTTCTTTTTTCTTTTCCAGGACGGCTGGAAAAGATTGAAGACGTTTATGAGGATCCGAAATTTTCATTGTACATTTTCTTTTTTTACTATGTTGTACCTCCGTCCCATATAGTAAGGAAAGACGACCAGACGCTGCTAAATTTAGTAAGCTATCAGAAGAGTGTTTACCAACGACAAACTCGTTGGGTTTAAACTTCTGGCTGGCCACGTCTTAGGGTCGTCACTGCCCCACTAGGGGGGGAGTGATCTGTAGCGGTAAATAAATCCCCAAAATAAATAGCACTAAGTTTTCGACATTGGATGCTGACCATATGTTTTATTGGACTCACCT